GAGAATCAGTGACAAACCTAACTCTTCCTGTCTGAGAGGTTAAGGGGCGAGAATCAGTGACAAACCTATCTCTTCCTGACTGAGAGGTTAAGGGGCGAGAATCAGTGACAAACCTAACTCTTCCTGACTGAGAGGTTAAGGGGCGAGAATCAGTGACAAACCTTACTCTTCCTGTCTGAGAGGTTAAGGGGCGAGAATCAGTGACAAACCTTACTCTTCCTGTCTGAGAGGTTAAAGAGGTGGGGATCAGTGACAAACCTTGATGAGCACCCTATTTAATATTTAAGCCTTACCCTGACTGGCTGAGAGTTAAGGGAGGTCGGCATCAATCGCTGCAGACAGTTTGGACAAGGCTGAAGGCTCAGTGAGTTCACCACCTTGGCATTTTGTAGTAAAGAACGAAACATGATCACAGTTATCTGAAAAATAATGAAATCATTAGTAAACACCTGGATCTTTGTGACTGTTGGAGAGTTATTCAAACTGTTAAGTCCAATATTAAAGGGGCATCACGGTGAATTAACATTTTTTTTTCTTTTTTTCAAATACTACATAAACATATCAAGTGAGACTCCTTATGGAAAATAACGATCGGATTTGGCTGAAATAGATTCATAAAAATGATTAAATCTAAGAAAATCATCGGTATTTCTACCTGTCTGACCAACGTTTTGTTCAGGGATTTCCCTCTACTAGCGCATGAGCATAGCACACCATTCCTTTGTAAACAAAATGACTGGCTGTATGAAGTAAGCGAAAGAAAAGTGTCGTAACGTGTCAGCTACGAAGCGAAAAGTTGCCAAATGGTCAAAAGATAGCGCAAGGAGTATGTTACGGAATCATTATTGCAGGTGGGAAGTATTCAAAGGAGAAAATAACTGCCCTAGCAGTTAGTATGGTGCATGTAATCTTCCGGATAGCCGGTTAAGCTGAAATGGAATCGACAGAAATGCTAGCTCTGTTTATGTTTTGAATAAATATCTAAAACTATTAACCTCGCTAGTATCTTTGTCCGAGTTTGAACAGATTTGACAGTCTTTTATGCTTTTACACAAGAGTAAATCTGACAGATATCAACAGAAAATAGCATGCAACATTTAAACCGATAAATCGAATATGAATTTATCTATTGGTTAATTTGAATTGGTTGTACAATAGATTGTTTTTCGATTATAATCTATTATAGGAACAACACTATAAAACAGTCTGCCATACCCTACTACATGTATATTGTCACAGGTACTAGCCTTGTCTGTCAACATACCCATGATACAAACAAAGTTGCTTACTCTGTCCCACTAGTAATTCAGATGAACCTGTTCACGAAAACTTGCGATGTTGTCATAACAGTTCATAAAACCATGCCGGGAGCAGTACTCTGGGTCGACAGTAAAATGATTTTTCTTTAATTTGATATATGATTTACCATATATCATGCAGTATATTTTTTGGTAGACTTCATAAAACATAGATTGAATAGCATACAGGCTGATCGTTGAGGTCACAAAAGACAGAGAAAACGGCTGTCTCCATTCAGATTTCCTATTGTCACTCTCTGACTCAGGCCATCTTGAAAACTGGACTCGGGTTTCCAACATGATAATGTGAGATGGCCTACACCTAAGATTGTTTCCTATTGTAGAAACACTGTACTGGCATTGACTAGCATACATGTTGTGCGTTTGGGCTACCCACTAGGGATTCAGCGTGTCATCGTGGGAACAGCACAGATGTTTCATGAATTCTACCGAAAATTGGCTTGCATGATATATTGGAAATCAATCAACAAATTAAGGAAAATTTATTTTCCTGTCGATATAGACTGCTCCAGGAAACTGTTAGCAACCTTGGGCATGCATGTTCGTTTATGCTGAACAACCGGTTTTTCCGTTGATAAATGTAACAATTATGTGATTTAACCTGTGGTTTAACCGTTTAAACAAAAACGGCCCTTATTTATATTAATGGTGTATATGGTAGACGAGGCTAGTAACGTTACCACACCATTTTTTAGAAGTCACGGTGCAGGTAAAATCTCCGAATCTAGACGGAATAGAAGTTGAGCAGCCGACATACATGTCCGCGCAAGTACTTGGCATGAATAAAGCAATACCTGTGTCCCTTTGCTTACTAACGAACTGTTGAACGATCGGGAAGCATCCAGTCCATGGAAGAAAATGTGCGGACGGTTCAAGTTCAATCAAGACCGATATCAATAATAAGCTTTTGCATCACACCGATATTCCTTAGAAAAGAAACATTCTAAAGATCCAGACAATTCAGAGAAGGGAATATTTTATTTTATCCAATCAAAACGCCTCATCATCAGTTTTCCGGTACATCAAAACAAAGATGGTAGGTAGTGGGTGTTCCCGAATTAGTTCACCGGTTTATGTCAGTTAAAACGTAGATGGTGCTGTACTAAGGAATTTGTTTTACACATCGCTAACTTTATTTCTCTGGTTTCATTGTGCTGTTAATGATTGTTAGAAAGACAGTAAATAATAGTCATCAGTACAGTACTCAGTAGAACCCCATATTCATATGATAGCTGACAGTTACAATGGCTTGTCACGAGGATCGCTTTCGTTTATTGTGGATCAGTGTTGATTGTGCGTGATGATGTTTCAGGCCAAAACTGACAAGAAATATGCATTAAGATTATCTAATCGATCTAATTATATCACATTCGCTTTATATCATATTTGCTTAATGTCACAAATTAATCATGATATCAAGAGAAATACAATGTGTGAGCTAAAAACCCATTGATATGTGTTAATAATTATTTTGCAGAGGTTCCGATTCTGCGGAGATTTAGATTGCCCAGATTGGGTACTGGCTGAAATCAGTATCCTGGCTCGAATGGTAAGACAGCTGCAAGTATAATAAAGTTAATGAAGAGACCATTATGTTGAATGTCAATGTTGATGCTATTTGAACGACACACATAAAGCAATTGTTGAGATGAAAGAAATATTGAGAAGAGAAATGTTTGCTATTGTTAATGACCCTCTGCAACACCCTTCTGTACAGGAGAAAGAGAAATGTATTGTCAGATTGGGACTTGAACCAGGGACCCTACAAACTCTAGACACGTTTCACCAATTGAGCCATGGCTGTCAATTAAAGATAGACCAAGTCAAGTTCCGCTTACATCAGTTCTCCCCCCCCCTACACACACAAACACAGGGAAAATCTGGCCATTTTTAACAAACAAAATTTCAATATCAAAATTAAGAGGTGCCATTCTATGTAAAATTTAAAAAATAAATGGATCATGGAAGGGTCAATTCAGTTTTGAGTGGTCAATGGCCCCCCTCCAGGATTATCCCTGCATAAATGCACAGACGCAACACATGAACCTAAATCTTCAATTATATTAGATTTAACTCATTCAACCCTGAAATTTCATAATGAACTATTCCAACCTATGAATTGGAGGAGTTCAAATGTGTCTTCAGGTGTGAATGAGTTAATACATGTTGCCCATCCTTTGTCCTTATGAGTCTAAACTCTCTCCTTTATACCATCCTATTACTATACCCATAATATTAATTCTCCAAAAATTGTACATGATGGATAGCTATAGGAACTTTCAGGTTTGATGCCAGATTATTTTTTATAAAATAAAACATTGTTTTTCATTTTCAGACATCAGTGAAGATGAAATTGCTTTGTATACAAGTCATAAAGGATCTTCTGGACGAAGGAATTGATGTAAGATGTTGGAGGCACGGTAGTCTAGTGGTAGGACGCCGAGCTCGTGACCGAAGGGTTGCAAGTTCGAGTCACGTCATTGTCATGTATCTTTGAACAAGATACTTTACTTTGCTTGTTCCAGTCTTAACTCAGCTGTAAATAAGAACCTTGAATTATTATTATTATCATTAAGGTTGCAAGTTAGATTGTATTTAGTTTTATATTGATGTAGAATCGGAAACTTTATTTCTCCATTCACCACTGCTTTCTATGTCAATGGTAACAGAAGACCATTAACCCATTCACCCCTGATGACACATTTGAACTCTTCCAATTGGAAGGTTGGAATAGTTCATTATGAAATTTCAGGGGTGAATGAGTTAATGTAATATGGATTATATATAAGCTAACAGAGTCCTATGTTACCAAGTCTGACAAACCAGAGGAGCATCTCTCCAAAACAATTTTTGTTTGTTTCTGTTTTGGCAAATCTTTTTTTATATAAACTTGATTCACTTTACAACAATTATGAAAGTATTTGCAAATAATTTAATTAATTTGAAGTATAGTTTTACATTGTGACTCTGTAAACAAACAAAAGGTCACTGTAGTATATATTTTTTTGTATATAACAATATTTTAAAATATTGGACAAAATAATTCATATTTCTTTGGCTCTTCAAAAATGAAGCCAAGCAGGCAAACTTATATATTTCACAATAGTGTAACAGCTAAGGAATTTGAAAGAAAAACACTGCCTTACTGGCAAGCTAGCTTTTCTATAACCCGGGGACCCCCTCACTAGTTCGAGCGAGGTCAGTAGTTTGATGGATGACTGCCTGCAAGTTACATTTCCTCAAAAACTACATGTAGAGACAGCATTTCTTTCACAGTGCTTATCTAAAAACCTTTAGAAAATGTAAGGGTAGACATTAGGGCATTAATCGAATCACTGAACTATTTAATTATTTCTATTTTACTTTAGTTGAAATATGGTCAAATAGATATATACTGTCACTTCACTTTCACTGTTTGTTAGAGTCAATTAGTAGTGTTATCCCTTTGATAAAGGGAGATAAGCCTTGTAGTTTACTGTAATGGTTGTCTTCGGTATGTATATGTCTATAAAGCTGAATTGTCTTATTATACCTGGAACAATATCTAATGTAGAGTTCATATTCTTGTTTCCTCGTTTTATTTCAGTATGAGAAAGTCTACAAGCTGACGTCCGATGCAAAGTTTGGTAAGTATCGTGTACTCAAAATGCATTTTCATATTTAGACCGTTATTTAAACCTAAATCAAATAACACACACATAGGGGGGCTGAGGGTGACCACTGGATAATTTGTCATGTGCATAACCAGGGGTGCGGACGGCCCTGCTGAAACTTAAAAGGCTGACTATCGCTAGTTTGCATTATTTCTATACAAAGTCCATTCACGCATATAATTGGCGCGGTGGATAGCGCACTCGCCTGTAAAATGATTATAATGGATGTACTTCGGTACAAGGCGCCAATGAAACATATACATATTTTAAGACGTCTAAATTTCTAGACGACCGTAATATGTGTACTTTGTATATGACATTATTATTTTCAATGTCTTAAGTATGTGTACTCTATTGAGGAGGTCACAAATAAATTCAAATCGCCTGAAGAGCCTCAATATTGGTGAAAGTACTAGTGAGATTTAGTCTTCAGTGTTTTGTTTGATTTATACATACTGGGTATATATACCCATACTAGAACACGAAATGATGTGGACAGTGTGGAAAAAAAGAAGTTGAATTTCCGGAGCAGTCCGCTCCTTTAACAAGAGACAGACAAACACTTTACCATACATTACAAAAAAATATACATTAGAATACCAAAATGGAACAGTGGGTTTTTCACAAAGTAATGTAAGTATGTTCATTAGGGGTGAATCCCGGGAATTCCTATAAAAAATTGGACAAGTCATCCAAACAAATAAAAAGTCGTAAAACCTGTTTCTTCCAGGGTATAAATACAAGTTAGGGAGTCAAAAATTTAAAACTGGATATTAGGTACTGTACACAGAAATTCTGGCCCAGTCAAACTTTCACCCTTCGCCCAGGAAATCAATTCATTATCAACTCCACCCTTCACAGAATTGGGTCAAGGTCACGCTGGGCCTGGGTAGTCCTTTGACTGGAGCTCCGACAAAATAGTGTTTTTCTTATATATTATTACACGTTTTGAAGTATAATTTTTGGATTACATACCTCATAAGTGGATAGTTTATCCCTTATCAGTATCTGTTTTCTTGAACTTTTGATGGAAATGTGTGTTTTGGACGTTTTGAGTTAGGACAATGGCCTGACACCCTACCTAGTGACTACTGCTCACAGCACACTCTATTCTAACTACATGGACTTGTATATGTTGACTTGATATATATGTATTAATACTCAGTGGAAACCATGGCCAACAGAAAGCACAGTATGGGAGGAGCAGCCGGGGTTAAGACCAGGGGAGCGGATAAGAATATTGAGGACAGACTCGATGAGATTACATCCTTGTTAACTACGCTCATAACAAAGGCAGACTTTGATTCCAAGATGAAGAAGTTGAAAGAAACCATACGAGAGGAAAATAGAGAACTGGTTGAAGAACTCAAAGGGAGAGTGTTCGAACTGGAAATGGAAAATGAGAATCTCCGGCTGACTATTGGAAACCTGGAGACTCAATACGGTGATCTCCAGTGTTCTAAGGACGCTATAGAGGCACGTCATAACGATTTGGAGCAACACGGCCGCAAGAACTCACTCAGAATACACGGACTGAAGGACACATCTGATTCAGAGACTGTGGAGGAATGTGTGGACAAATTTGTGAACTTTGTGTCTTCTAAACTTGAGGTGGATATCACCAAGGGGGACATTGACATTGCTCACCCTCTTGGGAAGTTCAACCGGGAAAGACCGAGAAACATCATCGTCAAGTTTACACATCGACGAAAAAGGAACGAGGTCATCAAAGCCCGCTATAAATTGAAGAAAACTGGATATACGGTGTTTGAGGATCTCACGAAGATCAACCAGCAGATCCTCAAGGACGCGTATAAGCTTCAGTGTGTGAAGAACTCGTACAGTACGGACGGTAAGCTTTTCGCTATACTGACTGATGGTAGAAAGAGAAGGCTCCAGTTTGGCACACCACTCACAGACAATTTTCTTAAGGAAGATTCCAACTTTGTGTAAATGTATATTTATTGCATAGTGATCGGTAATGGACTAGGCACGATGGTGCCGCCAGGAATTACCCTGGTTTTACCGATATAACGACAGTGTTTGGATAGTGTGTGTAAATTTGTATATCTGTGATTGTGTCATTTCTTTTGGAAAATTTACAGTGAGTGTTTTGCTTAATCTTGTGTATGGGATCTATTATTCATATACGTCGGTAAGTCTATACAAGTTTCATTTATCTATCTTGTTGATTGACTACTAATTAAAATTATTATTTTTATATATATATATCGAAAAAAAAACCTGTATATGTTGATACATATGTATATCTATAGACATGCTTATATATCTTAAAAATTCTCTTATACAATATATACAGTACACCGACGTCTCCGGATTTTTTGTCTGATAAGTTTAAAAGCTTCAGCTATACCGCTCCTTACAATCCAATCAGTTATTGGATATGTATGTTCCTACTATTTCATTAGATATTTGTTTCGTATACTCATATTATTTCGCTGTAAAAAGGGTTCTTATGTCTTTCCATTTTCCCCTCTTTTCCCCTCTCTTCCCTTATGTTTCCGGAATTTTAAAACAGTCTATCCCATCCGATAGTTACTACACTACTTCCGGTGTGGTATTACTTCCTGTCTTCGGCGAACCCCATCTGCAGGCATGGTTATCTATCCAGGTATTCTTATTATCATAAACAAGAAATAACTCAAGACTGTGTGCTGTCGGCAGTAGTCTCTATGAAATGACCACTTTATCATTGTCTTTTATGTTTTCTTTTCTTCTTCTTTTAATTTCTTTATCGGTCTTTGCTTTTCCTCTATTTATTTCCGGGATGGATCAAATAAACTCGTTCTCAAGTCACAGCTATGGCTCAGATACAGTTTTTATCGGCTAATAATCAGGGCCTGGGAGACAAAGTTAAGCGTAAAGATGTGTTTTCTTATCTTAGGTCGACAAGTGGTAATGTTTTCTGCTTGCAAGATACACATTTTACTACAGAACAGGAAAATATTATAAGAAGTGAATGGGGTTTTCAGTGCTACTTTAATTCTTTTAAATCAAATGCTAGAGGCGTAGCTATTCTTTTTAAAAATAACTTCGAATTTAAAGTGCATAAAGAAAAAAAAGAAAACACGGGCAATTTTTTAGCCTTAGATATTGAAATTGAGACTTTTAGAATTACACTTATTAATTTGTATGGCCCAAATAAGGATGAACCTGATTTTTATGATATTCTATTTGAAACTATTGAAGAATTTGCAAATAGATATATTATCATTTGTGGTGATTTTAACCTGGTTTTAAATCCTAAATTAGATTATGATAAAAATTATAAAAATGTAAACAATCCTAAAGCTAGAGAAAAAAATTTGGAAATCATAGATAATTTTTCACTAGTAGATATTTTTAGAGAACAAAATGAAGACTTAAGAAGATACACATGGAGGAAAAGTAGCCCACTTAAACAAGCTCGCTTAGACTTTTTTTTAATATCTGAAAACTTTATTTCTAGTACTGAAAAATCCAAAATAGAATTTGGTTATAGATCTGACCATTCTTTCCCTACAATATCTTTGAAACTTAATGAATTTATACCTGGTAAAGGAGTATGGAAATTCAATAATAGTCTATTACAGGAACTAGAGTACTTAAATATGGTTAAAACTTGTATCAGTGAGACGAAAGCGCAATACTGTCCTCCAGTTTATAATTTAAATAATTTAAATAACATTTCAGATGCTGTGATTGAGTTTATGATAGACGATCAATTATTTCTGGAAACATTACTTTTGCAAATTAGAGGTAAAAGTATATCTTATTCATCCTTTAGGAAAAAACAACAAAATGTTAGGGAAGACAATCTTAAGAAGACAATTCAGGCAATTGAAGAACAAGATGAAATAGATATTGTTGATTTAGAAGTAAAAAAAAAAGAATTAAAGGAAATTAGGGAACATAAAATTAAAGGTAGTATAGTGAGATCTCGTGCTAAATGGATAGAAGAGGGGGAGAAGCCTACAAGCTATTTTTTCAGTCTGGAAAGTAGAAATTTTACCTCTAAAGTTATACCTAAATTACAATTAGATAATGGAAAAACAATTACAAGTCAGGCAGACATCTTGAAAGAAGTTCAGAAATTTTATGAAAAGCTGTATGATTCTGATAATAACATAGCAGATGTAAATTTAAATGAATTTTTGGAACATTATAATGTGATTAAAATTAGTAAAAATGATTCTGAAAAGTTGGATGGCCTAATCTCATTGGAAGAAGCTGGCAAAACGTTAAGACGTATGAAAAATAATAAAAGTCCAGGCATAGATGGCTTTACGGTTGAATTTTATAAGTGTTTTTGGAAATATTTAGGTAACTTTGTTGTTCGATCTATAAATTTAGGCTATAAAAAAGGAAATCTATCAATCTCACAACGTCAAGGAATTATTTCATGCATTCCAAAGGGGGATAAACCTCGACATTTTATAAAAAATTGGAGGCCTATCACACTACTAAATGTTGTTTATAAAATAGCTTCTAGTACAATAGCATACAGAATTAAAACAGTTTTGGATAAAATAATTGATAAAGATCAGACAGGGTTTTTAGAGGGTCGTTATATAGGGGAAAACACTAGACTGATATATGATGTAATGCAATATGCAGAGGAAAATGATATTCCAGGTATGTTTCTAATGATTGATTTCGAAAAAGCTTTTGATTCGGTGTCCTGGGCATTTATTGAGAAAGTATTATGTTTTTTTGGTTTTGGAAATAGTATAATAAACTGGGTTAAAACATTACATAATAATGCTAGTGCTGTAATTAATCAGGGAGGGAATTTGTCTTCATTTTTTCAAGTTAAAAGGGGATGTCGTCAAGGGGACCCGATTGCTCCTTATATATTTATTCTGTGTGCTGAAATTTTAGCTATAAAACTAAGAAACAATAATAAAATTAAGGGTATTAATGTTGATAACTGTCCTATACTTCTATCACAATATGCGGATGACACTGCACTTGCACTTGATGGTACAGAAAGATCACTGCAGGAAGCTATTACTGAACTTAATTTCTATGCAAGTATATCAGGATTGAAAATGAATATTTCAAAAACTCAAGTGGTCTGGATTGGCAATAAAAAATTTAGCTCAGATAAATTCCTTCCAGAACTCGACTTACAATGGGGTAGGGAAAACTTCACACTTCTTGGCATTGAATTTCACGTTAATTTACATGAGATACCTAAACTGAACTTTGATAAAAAAATAACAAAACTTAAATCACTTATCAGATCATGGAAAAGGAGAATATTAACACCAATTGGTAAAATAAACATAATAAAATCAATTTTGGTTTCACAATTTAATCATTTATTTATCTCGCTGCCAAATCCAGAGGAAAAGTTTCTTTGTAAACTGAATTCTATAATTTATGAGTTCTTGTGGAACAGTAAAGTGGATAAAGTAAAGAGAGAAGTTGTTATTCAAGACTTCATTAATGGTGGGTTAAACATGATCAACATCAAAACTTTTATAGACTCACTCAAATTAGGTTGGATTAGAAGAATATTTCAATGTACATCTAAATGGCAAGCAATTTTAAAAACATATGTTAATATAGACATGTTGGCAAATTGTGGTTCAGATTATATAAAGCTATGTGAAAAAAAATGTAAAAACAAGTTCTGGACTGATGTTTTGAAAGCTTGTAAAAACTTGTATCATGCAAATGAAATTAATATTAACAAAAATGAGGTATACTTGAAGACCCCCTTATGGTATAATGACAAAATTATTATTGATAGAAGGTCAATTTTCATTAAGGATTGGTATAAAAAAGGAGTTATTAATATAAATGACCTGATTAAAGACTATAATTCTGGTTCCTTTTATACAGTTCAAGAATTCACTCAAACTTATCAAATACAGACTAATTTTCTCCAATATCACAGTGTTCTTTCTGCAGTAAAACATTTCAACTCTAATCCAGATTTTCCTAAATTAAGACTGTTATGTCCTTTTATTCCTACACACTTAGAACCATTCTTTAAAAAGTCTAAAGGTTCCAAACATTTTTATAGTATCCTGGTAAAAAATAACATTGTTCCATCAGGACAGAAGAAATGGAATAGAGTCTTTGATTTTAGTAACTTTTCTTGGCATCAGATTTTTAAGCTTCCCTTTGCTATAACTACTAATACAAAATTTCAGTGGTTTCAGTATAGAATAAATCACCATATTCTGACAACAAATTCTTTCCTTTTTAAAACTCGAATAGTTGTATCTCCTATGTGTACACTTTGCAATTCTGAGATTGAAACTATTACCCATATTTTATGGGAATGTCAAGAGACTCAGAATCTTCTTATTAGTTTTGAAACTCTTTTGGATGCACTCATTATTCCTTTTGATTTTAATAAAGAATCTTATTTATTTGGATTTCTTACACAAAATGTTAATGGTAGAATTGATAATGAGATACTCATTATAATTAAACAATATGTATATAAAATGCGTTGTCTTCATAGCTCCTTAAATATAAATGCATTGGTTAACACAATAAAAGACTACCATAATATACAAAGATTTATAGCAAATAGCAAAGGAGAAACTTATAGAGAGAAGTTTGAAAAGGAATGGAAAAAATGGGAAAAACTTCTTGTTTTGTAAAAATAATATTCTGATAGCTGTCTCCTGGGCTTTGGAAATGAATTATAAAATCAATAATTTTCTTCTATTACACTTATCCATACATTCATAAGCTTGAGCTCAAAAATATAATAGTCCATCCCCACCCTCTCTCTCTCTCTCTCTCTCTCTCTCGCTCTCTCTATTCTCTCTCTCTCTCTCTGAACTGATTCATGTAATTTTAGTTTACAGTTTTTAGTAGCTTTTCATTTTTTTTTGCATTTCTATGATTCTATGATTCCTTACTTGTTTGTGTTTGTATGTAAGAGTGTGTGTATGGGTGGGTGTGAGTAAGGGCGATTATGTATGTGTTAATGTTGTGATGCAACTTATAATATATGAAATCATTTCATCATACATGAATGGAGGATGATGATGTTGATGATGTTGATAATGAATGATGATGATGATGATGGATGTTGATGATGATGATGATGCTGATGATGAATGATGATAATGATGATGATGGAGGTAATAACATCAAAATGTATGTGAGATGATGATGATGATGATGATGATGATGATGATGATGATAATGAATGATGATGATGATGGATGTTGATGATGATGATGATAATGATGATGATGGAGGTAATAACATCACAATGTATGTGAGATGATGATGATGATGATGATGATGATGATGATGATGATGATGATAATGAATGATGATGATGATGATGATGATGATGATGATAATGAATGATGATGATGATGGATGTTGATGATGATGATGATAATGATGATGATAGAGGTAATAACATCAAAATGTATGTGAGATGATGATGATGATGATGATGATGATGATGATGTTGATGATGTTGATGATGAATGATGATGATGAGGATGATGGAGGTAATAACATCACAATGTATGTGAGATGATGATGTTGGTAATGATGATGATGATGATGTTGGTAATGATGATGATGATGATGGTTATGATTGAGGTAATGGCATCACAATGTATGTGAGTGAGTGGACGTTTATGTTGTTGTTGTTTTATATATCAATAAAACTTAAATAAAAATAAAAAATAAAATAAAAAAAAACAAAAAAACTCCACCCTTCACATTTAACTACAATGTTTATTTTGCTGTTCACTTATGTTTGTTGTAATGATAAATTAGCCCTCGTTACGGAGATAAAAAAAATCCCAGTTTACAGTATACAGTAGTACACTATAACTATATTTGCAAAATTCATCGAGCCACTGCTAGGTTAAAACAATGTTCATATCCAGACAGTTTTGCTGACATTCTGTGGTGAGGTTAGTGATGTGGAAGTTACTTCCCCTTGTTTACCACAGGCAGGCAGTGTTCAATCCCCGAAGTTGTCGTATGCATGAATATTCAGAGAAAGTGCTTTTCTCCTGCCCAACCAACTCCCAACAACCAAGGTGGAGTATAAAATGGTCTGGGGTGGATGTTGCAGTATTTGTGCTGTAGCATTGGCCATTCAAGTGAGGTGGCACTATAAATGATACGGTTGGAAGCACGGTCCCATTACAAACAGAACACAATACATCTCCAGCACACATGCAGCACACATACACACATTAAGAGATATTAGCCAGGTGGCATATGACTAGTAGTTAGCGCCTGATAAGGCTGCTCCTGCGACTTCCCCAAAATTATATTGATTAATGTATATGCTAATTGTATTAATTGTATATCTATGTACTGTAAAGCGCTTTAGAGTGGCTTATTCTAGCTAGATAGAGTGCTATATCAGATTTTGTATATTATTATTATTACATACAAATCAGCGGAACTGGACTGGGTGGATCATCGGCGACCAGGTAGATCAGTTGTTAGACACCCGTCTAGAGTTCAGAGGCTCTCAGGTTCAAACCCCATTCTGGCCATGCATTTCTCTTTCTCCTATATACACCAATTTTTATGACTTTTGGAGGCAATTTAACACATGGCAATGTTGTTTCAGAAATGGGTGATGTGAAGGCCAGTTTGGCAGCCTTGAGTTTTGTGCTTTCCAGTGCTGCCAAATACGGCATTGATGGCGAATCCTTGTCTAATGAACTGCAGCAGCTAGGTCTCCCAAAAGGTATGTTTATCTAAAACAGCAAGAGCAGATAATTGTCAGTATTCAATTAAAACAGTAAAGTAACATGCATTTCGAAGTTGCCTCTCCTTCTGTAATTACAAGGAAAGACTGCTGGGTTATCTGTATTTAAATAGCGACAAAGTCAGATTGCCGAGTTATGTTTGCTTCTTATAACAAACAAGTTTAGAGTTTTGGATTATCTCCCTTTATATAAGAACTGGGGGCCTGTTCGTTAATGCGGGACGGCTGGTTTGTCCGTTTTTAAATGTAGCATTTTCGGGTATAAATCCTGGCAGACCTGCAAATGTTTATGCTTTGTCAAGGCTCACCTGAAAGCAGCATAAGATAACTGGGTCCGACCTTATTTCATAAACAAACAACTTTGGTCCAATCAGGTCAACCGTTTGGATTGTAATAAATGAAAATGGTCAAGGTCAAACTCTTTGGTTATTTTCCCGTATTCAAAAGTAAGGTGAGACTACTAGTTTGTATCCCCTGGATAATCCTACTTGGTTATCTCCCTTTTTCTAACAACACTGACAGATACATGGGTTACTGCTCCATATTTAATAAGAACATATTCTTGGGCTACCTCCCCTTATGTAGCAACAAGGTCAGCTGACTGAGTTATCTCCCCTTATGTAACAAGAATGATAGACTACGAGGTTACCTCCCCTAAAGTAACAACAAGGTCAGATGACAGAGTTATCTCCCCTGATGATACAAAAAGTACAGACTACGTGGTTACCTCCCCTGTTCTTTCTGATATAAGTGACTGTTACATTGACTTTCTATTGATTCCAGAACATACCGCAGCATTATGTAAGTCGTACAGCGATGGTCTGGACAAACTTCAAACTCATTTCAGGAGGAAGAGTCTACGATGTAAGTATCCGGGAATCACACCTGTATTTATTTTGTTATCATTTCTCTAACTGAAATGCATCTGTTAATACAGTTTTTATCGGTGGACACGTGATACACCTTTGGCCAATCACTTGTCGGGAATAATATGAAAATAATAAATAAATATATCAATTCTTTGATTTTCAAATTACGAACTTGTAGCATATTCAGCGGAATTGGCATTTACTGAATAGCAGCCATGAGTGCATTGCTTAAATATACATGAATTGCAGTTCACAAGATATTTAAATTTGTGTGATGGACTACTTCTTGCCACAAATTAATGAGAAATATATTTATCCTGTGTTGTTAGTTAATATTTTTTTAGCAACTCCACATCTCAGTCAATTTTTGTTTTTCATTTTACTAAATTGGTAAGTTTTCACAATTCATACACATAACACTTGACAAAAACTCCCCAGTAAAATACAAGGGAATCTTATAAATAAGTAACTGCCAGTATTAAAGATATAGCCTACCAACAAGAACTCACTAGAAATTATTTCTAATTTTGTTAATTTTTGTAATAAAAAAAATTCACAAGATAGAAAAATAATAGGAGTAAAATGTTATAAGAATTTTAAAAATTGGTAGCATACATTGTTCATAATCTCAAAATCATTTTTTTTTATTGTGCGATTGACCATGTGAGAAAAGTAGGGCAGAACAGTACTAAAACCATAGAAATCTTACCTGTTGTTATAATTGGATTTTTTCTTTTTACTATAGTGTCCCATGTTGACGCAGTGAGGTGGAGAGTAGACTACGTCCTGAGTTCTAGTGAGTTAAAGGTGAGTAACCATGCCAACCCAGTGTAGTAGAGCGTGAGTTCTAGTTAGTTAAAGGTGAGTAACCATTCCGACCCAATGTAGTAGAGCGTGGGTTCTAGTGAGTTAAAGGTGAGTAACCATGCCAGCCTAGTGAAGTAGAGAGCGAGTTATAGTGAGTTTAAGGTTAGTTACCATACCAACCCAGTGTAGTAGATAGTGAGTTCTAGTGAGTTAAAGGTGAATAACCATTCCGACCCAATGTAGTAGAGCGTGAGTTCTAGTGAGTTAAAGGTGAGTAACCATTCCGACCCAGTGTAGTAGATAGTGAGTTCTAGTGAGTTAAAGGTGAATAACCATTCCGACCCAATGTAGTAGAGCTTGAGTTCTAGTGAGTTAAAGGTGAGTAACCATTCCAACCCAGTGTAGTAGAGCGTGAGTTCTAGTGAGCTAAAGGTGAGTTACCATACCAACCCAGTGTAGTAGAGCGTGAGTTCTAGTGAGTTAAAGGTGAGTAACCATGCCAACCCAGTGTAGTAAATAGTGAGTTCTAGTGAGTTAAAGGTGAGTAACCATGCCAATCCAGTGTAGTAGAGTGTGAGTTCTAGTGAGTTAAAGGTGAGTAACCATGCCAACCCAGTGTAGTAGATAGTGAGTTAAAGGTGAATAACCATTCCAACCCAGTGTAGGAGATAGTGAGTTAAAGGTGAGTAACCATGCCACCCCAGTGTAGTAGATAGTGAGTTAAGGTGAGGAACCATTCCAACCCAGTGTAGTAGATAGTGAGTGCTTGTGAGTTAAAGGTGAGTAACCATTCCAACCCAGTGTAGTAGAAAGTGAGTTAAAGGTGAGTAACCATTCCAATCCAGTGTAGTAGATAGTGAGTTAAAGGTGATTAACCATTCCAACCCAGTGTAGTAGATAGTGAGTGCTTGTGAGTTAAAGGTGAGTAACCATTCCAACCCAGTGTAGTAGATAGTGAGTTAAAGGTGAATAACCATTCCAACCCAGTGTAGTAGATAGTGAGTTAAAGGTGAGTAACCATGCCAACCCAGTGTAGTAGATAGTGAGTTAAGGTGAGTAACCATTCCAACCCAGTGTAGTAGATAGTGAGTTAAAGGTGAGTAACCATTCCAACCCAGTGTAGTTGAGCGTGAGTTAAAGGTAACCATGCCAACCTAGTGTAGTAGATAGTGAGTTCTAGTGAGTTAAAGGTGAGTAACCATTCCAACCCAGTGTAGTAGATAGTGAGTTCTAGTGAATTAAAGGTGAGTAACCATGCCAACCCAGTGTAGTAGATAGTGAGTTCTGGTGAATTAAAGGTGAGTAACCATGCCAACCCAGTGTAGAAGAGAGTGAGCTAAAGGTGAGTAACCATAACAACCCAGTGTGGTAGAGAGTGAGTTCTAGTGAGTTAAAGGTGAGTTACCATGCCAACCCAGTGTAGTAGAGAGTGAGTTCTAGTGAGTTAAAGGTGAGTAACCATGCCAACCCAGTGTTGTAGAGAGTGAGTTCTAGTGAGTTAAAGGGGAGTAACCATGCCAACCCAGTGTAGTAGATAGTGAGTTCTAGTGAATTAAAGGTGAGTAACCATGCCAACCCAGTGTTGTAGAGAGTGAGTTCTAGTGAGTTAAAGGTGAGTTACCATGCCAACCTAGTGAAGTAGAGAGTGAGTTCTAGTGAGCTAAAAGAGAGTTACCACACCAACCCAGTGTAGTAGAGAGTGAGCTAAAAGAGAGTTACCACACCAACCCAGTGTAGTAGAGAGTGAGTTCTAGTGAGCTAAAAGAGAGTTACCATACTAACCCAGTGCAGTAGAGAGTGAGTTAAAGTGAGCTAAAAATGACTAACCTTAACAACCCAGTGTAGTAGGGAGGGAGTTAAAGTGAGCTAAAAGTGAGTAACCCATGCCAACCCAGTGTAGTAGAGCGTGGGTTCTAGTGAGTTAAAGGTGAGTTTCCATGCCAACCTAGTGAAGTAGAGAGTGAGTAGTTCTAGTGAGTTAAAGGTGAGTACCCATGCCAACCTAGTGAAGTAGAGAGTGAGTTATAGTGAGTTGAAGGTGAGTTACCATACCAACCAAGTGTAGTAGAGAGGGAGTTAAAGTGAGCTTAAGGGGAGTTACCATACCAACCTAGTGTGGTACACAGCGAGTTCTTGTGAACTAAAAGAGAGTTACCATACCAACCCAGTGTAGTCCACAGTGAGTTAAAGTGAGCTAAAGGTGAGTTACATACCAACCTAGTGTAGTACACAGAGAGTTCTAGTGAGCTAAAAGAGAGATACCATACCAACCCAGTGTAGTACACAGTGAGTTATAGTGAGCTAAAGGTGAGTGACCATACCAACCCAGTGTAGTACACAGTGAGTTCTAGTGAGTAAAGGTGAGTAACCATGCCAACCTAGTGTAGTAGATAGTGAGTTCTGGTGAATTAAAGGTGAGTTACCATACCAAACAAGTGTAGTAGAGAGGGAGTTAAAGTGAGTAGTGAGTTCTAGTGAGTTAAAGGGGAGTAACCATGCCAACCCAGTGTTGTAGAGAGTGATTTCTAGTGAGTTAAAGGTGAGTTTCCATGCCAACCTAGTGAAGTAGAGAGTGAGTTATAGTGAGTTGAAGGTGAGTTACCATACCAACCAAGTGTAGTAGAGAGGGAGTTAAAGTGAGATTAAGGTGAGTTACCATACCAACCTAGTGTGGTACACAGCGAGTTCTTGTGAACTAAAAGAGAGTTACCATATCAACCCAGTGTAGTACACAGCGAGTTCTTGCGAGCTAAAAGAGAGTTACCATACTAACCCAGTGCAGTAGAGAGTGAGCTAAAGTGAGCTAAAGGTGAGTTACATACCAACCTAGTGTAGTACACAGAGAGTTCTTGTGAGCTAAAAGAGAGTTACCATACCAACCCAGTGTAGTAGAGAGTGAGCTAAAAGTGAGTAACCATAACAACCCAGTGTAGTAGGGAGTGAGTTAAAGTGAGCTAAAAATGACTAACCATAACAACCCAGTGTAGTAGGGAGTGAGTTCTAGTGAGCTAAAAGAGAGTTTCCATACCAACCCAGTGCAGTAGAGAGTGAGTTAAAGTGAGCTAAAGGTGAGTTACCATACCAACCCAGTGTAGTACACAGCGAGTTCTTGTGAGCTAAAAGAGAGTTACCATACCAACCCAGTGCAGTAGAGAGTGAGTTAAAGTGAGCTAAAAGTGAGTAACCATGTCAACCCAGTGTAGTAGGGAGTAAGTTAAAGTGAGCTAAAAGTGAGTAACCATAACAACCCAGTGTAGTAGGGAGTGAGTTAAAGTGAGCTAAAAGTGAGTAACCATGTCAACCCAGTGTAGTAGGGAGTGAGTTAAAGTGAGCAAAATGTGAGTAACCATAACAACCCAGTGCAGTAGGGAGTGGGTTATATTAAGAAAATTGTCTAATGCTTTTGATGTTTTTAGATAGACATCAGACTTAAAGAGTGTTTTTTTCCTGATCTTGACATTCCAATGTTTATCATGATTATTATTGAAAATCAAATTTCTGAACCTTTTTTAAGCCGTTCTTGGCGAGAGCCGAGCAGCTTATGAATTCTGTCCAGAGAACGAAATGACGAACCCACTTCCCTACAGGGTGCATGCGCATAATTCCGTCTTGCATGCTTCCGCTATATAGTTTCGTTATCGTAAATAGAGAGTAGAATCTCTGACACTCACCTGTGGGTTACACAAAGTCTTCTGATACTCTTCTCCAAATAATAATCCATACTTTAAATAATTGCTGAAAACAAAATGTTTATCTCCGGTGCATTCTACGAGTGTTGTGGTGGTGAAATTCGTGCACTGGGTTTGAGCGTTTTAGCAACTCGGATTGAGGTCTGAGGAGGTTAACGCATGTGAAACACATATGATTCGAAAAAGCACATGTGAAGCCTGTCAAGCATTGACGCTGTCTGTAGAAGGAAGAAGCAAATATATATATTTATAAACTGTATGAGTGATGAAGTATAACCTTTATTTTGATGTTTCAAACAGGAACGTAATATGACATATCGTGCTTAGGTTGATAACGGTAATGGCTCTTGAGACGAGACGATATGTGAATTGTGTATGCTTATCAAACATTCCTGTAACACAGCATGCTTTTTCTGGTGTATTTATTTATGAAAATGTAACAATTTAAGAACATGACACAACTGCCGCTGCTGTTTGACAAGAATTTGCGCTGTGTCAAAATATTATCCAATCCGGTGTAAGGGAAATAACTCTTAAGTTGGTAAAGTCGCATTGAGAGATATAATTCAAATATATTCCAAGAACATTTGTGAGATTTTGTATATTCAATGACAGTAAATAAAGTCACTTCATATATTAATAATTATTATTAATATGAATGAAAAATAAATAAAATTAAAAGGAGTACAATGTCTCTTTTCTCCATGCATGTTTTCCCACTACTGTAAATTATCTTTCTTTTCACAAGCACAAATGCACCTATTCTTTATTATCCATTCACCAATTGCCATTATGCACGTAAATGCTCATGTCACATCATTGGAGGATGCTAATTAATGAAAATTACAACAATGCATCATTTAAGAGGCGATTGATTTTGGAAATTCCAAAGGCAACATCATCACATGACCTGATTTCAATTAGCAGAATACAGAACAAATATCTGAGGTATTATAGTAGATATTGATGCTCAACATATTACTGAAGCAATTAAATTTAAAGTGGTGAGCGGCTTAATGTCACACTGACATAATTCTAGTTTTTAAATAAGATAATCTCCTGATGTAAAATCTTCCCTCTTTTCTATCTGTATTAGGATGTGAACACACCGTGTGTCCAGTTACAGTTGACCACAAAGGATCCGGACACCGGGGCCACATCACCTGTCTCCTTTACTGTTTCCATGGAGAAGTTCCGGGTTCTGCACAACGGTAAGTCAGCGTTATGGTAAATATCAATGTTTTACACAACGGTAAGTCAGCGTTATGGTAAATATCAATGTTTTACACAACGGTAAGTCAGCGTTATGGTAAATATCAATGTTTTACACAACGGTAAGTCAGCGTTATGGTAAATATCAATGTTTTACACAACGGTAAGTCAGCGTTATGGTAAATATCAATGTTTTACACAACGGTAAGTCAGCGTTATGGTAAATATCAATGTTTTACACAACGGTAAGTCAGCGTTATGGTAAATATCAATGTTTTACACAACGGTAAGTCAGCGTTATGGTAAATATCAATGTTTTACACAACGGTAAGTCAGCGTTATGGTAAATATCAATGTTTTACACAACGGTAAGTCAGCGTTATGGTAAATATCAATGTTTTACACAACGGTAAGTCAGTGTTATGGTAAATATCAATGTTTTACACAACGGTAAGTCAGCGTTATGGTAAATATCAATGTTTCACTCCCTTAATGGTCAGAGTATGGTAAAAGTTCAACTAAGCTGTTAGTCACTGTTATAGTAAACACCAAAGATTTACTCAGCCTTAGTTCAATGTTTTACTTTATAGTCAGCATTATGGTAAATATCAATGTTTCACTCCCTTAATGGTCAGAGTATGGTAAACGTTCAACTAAGCTGTTAGTCACTGTTATAGTAAACACCAATGTTTTATTATATAGTCAGTGTTATGGTAAACATCAATGTATTAATATATAGTCATTCTTTCTTCGTGTTTTAAATAAGTTCATCAAACTTTGTGTTCTGTTTGAGTGAGGTTGCCTTTCACTTCACACAATATCTAGGTAAAGTTCAGCCAGGTGTCCTTTCACAAATCATAATGTGTATTTAATCACGAGTCAAATACTGATATTTTACATTGATCTTTATAGGAAATGACTCGCTGTGTGAAAAAGGTATAAATAAAACACTAGCATATATACTTAACAAAAGAAATTTTATTTGTGTTTCAGAATTAAAACAAGCCAACACCATTGTGGAGTCCCTATCGTCCTGATGGTTTTCACAGCTAGCGTACACGATTACTTGTGAACAACAGAAAAACTTTAATAAGACGACATCCTGGAAATTAGGATACAAGTCTAAAGTTAGCTGTAATATACTCGCAACAGTTTATTAATTCAATTCTACTACGTCAAATGCTTCACTCCCGGACATTTGTGATCATATTTATGTGTAAGCACGAGGGACAGCTGTAACATATTATGTGTGCATGTCATCAGGCAATTGTACATAGAAATTGACCAATGAATGCAGTCGTTACAACACAGATGCAGTAGAATTGACTAATGAAAACAGTCGTTACAACACAGATGCAATATAATTGACTAATGAAAACAGTCGTTACAACACCAAAGCGGTAGAATTGACTAATGAAAACAGTCGTTACAACACAGATGCAATAGAATTGACTAATGAAAACAGTCGTTACAACACCGAAGCGGTAGAACTTGGTCCACACGGTACAATCCTTCAATATTGGGCTTTAAACTTTCATTGAACATATATCCACATTCCAATGAAACATGTACTCTGCATCCTTTATTATCTCATTCACCCCTGAACATTTATAATAAACCATTCCAACCTTTGTATTGGAAGATTTCAAATGTGTCTTCAGGGGTGAATGAGTTATCTATCACCAATGTTGTCATTCCTCGAACAGGTGCTGTAACTGTTGAATCAGATGAAGGGGAAACAGGGAGGATTCAGAGTTGTTTCCCCTGCATTTATCATTTTTGTTTGTTTGGTGTTTCACGTCCTTGCAACAGTAAGGGTCATAATTATGAGGACGGGAAAATTTCACAACTCATTTAAACAGATTTTGGTGTGGAAATACTTGCATTTGCAATGACTCTGAGATTTTTATTCTATATACCTAAAATCTATGATATTCGGTCTACCTAAAAACAATACATATTTGCTTGATTTTTTTCTCAATGTGAAAAATGTAAAAATGTCCACCTTTACAGTGAATAGTAATTATTGTAATTTATTTGATGTAAATGTATCTGATAACATTATTCATACATTGATATGAATGTATGGAATATTGTATACTGTAGAATCATTTATTTTCGTGGGGTTAAAATTTTGTGGTTTTCATATACAAGTCTGTTTCAAGGACATTATATTTCGGTGATTTCTGATTTCCCCCCATCTATATCATACAAAATTTATGTATTCGTTGGGGATTTAATTTCGTGGATTTTTGTTATCCACAAAATAAACGAAATTTAATGTCCCATTAAAATTTATGATTTAACAGTAATCGACTTAATTGTAATAGAGAATGATGATTAAGAAAGATGTATTACTTATAGCTGTAAAGTATGCAAATTACAGATATACAATTGATTGAATATGTAGCGGGGCCGTGGTGGCTGAGTGGTTAAGGCGTCTGACATTCTGTTACCACTAGCCCTCCACCACTGGGTCGCGGGTTTCGAGGCCTGTGTGGGGCAGTCGCCAGGTACTGGCCGTAGGTCAGTGGTTTATCTCCGGGTACTTCAGCATTCCTCCACCACCTGGCACGTCCTTAAATGACCATGATAGCTGTCAATAGGATGTTACACACAAACATTAGTTGAGAATATATTGAAAATATCTTTGGCAATAATTAGTTGGACGAAGTTCTGGCTTTGATCCTACATCAGTAAGCATTGCGGTACAGCTGGTAGCTTCTTCCTTCTAGATTGTGTTTTGACTGTATGTTTTTAAGGACCTTTCATTAAGGATTAACTTGAATATATCTTTTATGTTATGGAATTATAACACAAAAAAACGGAGTGTACTCTAAATAAACCGTGAAGCGGTTTATGATGAGAGTACACTCCGCTTTTTTGTGTTATAGCTCCATAACATAAAACATATATTCAAGTTAATCCTTATAATTTAACCTACTTTACACAATCCCTGTGGAAATCCACTTTTATTGATGGACTCTTTTCTCTTAGAAATTAATATGCCGCTGTATCAGCCAATCAAAAGCGACGTTACAAACGGTGACGTCATTTTTTTACATTATGGGCTGATAACATAAATTTTTAAGCTGATGGAAATGCTTGTTACGAGCAAGATTAAACTATTTGGGTCTAGCATTAATGAAGCAGATGGTGCATATTTTGTGCTGAACATTCTTGTGCCATTTTAAGAATTTGTTCAATCTTAAACAAAAGAACGAGAGGTAAGCTACATTGGACGTGGGTTGACGAGACTGACAAAACACGAATGTTATGACATGTTTTTTGTCTCCTGTTTAAATTCTATTTATTATATTAAAATATGTATGTTGAAATTGTATAGAAATAAAATAATTTTAAATATTTTCTTGTTGTTGTAGTGTATGATTGTATCATGTCTTTGCGTAATAATAATGGCGGGCTAAAAATAATGTACGAAAAATATAGATGTTTGAATATTTTATTTTTTCTCTTCAGTATAAATCACAAGGAGTAATACCTCCCTGTACACATTATTATTTACATGAAATGATCAAACAGCACATACAAAATACTGTTTCCTTGTAATTCATATGACAAATGATTTTATTGCTATCCACATGATTACCCCTTCCTGGGCCTCTTACAGTAGGTGATTGATTCCCCTTTGGGTACCCCTAACAGTGGCAAGAGGTGTTTTCTATACATAAGTAGGGCCCCATTCATCTACAGGGCCCACGACTGAATATATTAAATGCTGCATAGATGTAGCATTTCTGTTTGATTTATTCTTTATATAATTCCACTTTTGTTACAATTTTAAAATAATACAACTTGTAAATGATCAGGCAAATTTAAACGGATGTACATGGTTTAAATATCACGAGATTGGTGGATTCAAATGAACCCACTGTATTCACAATAGAAAACAGTTTAATAGTACAATAAAATAAATGTACAGCAGAACATTTACCATTTTGATGGCTGGTTCTAAAGAACCAGTTGATCTACAATGGAACACACATCTCCACATACACTGTACATCAGATCCATTCTATTCAGAACGATGAGGTGTGACCAACAATGGTAAGCACACCTCAGCACTCTTATAACAAAATAATGCTCTTTGACAGTTTTTACAAAAATCATCTCTAAAATACTCAACACTTTTCTAAAGTCAACATTCTACATCAGCACTGACGCTACAATCACTGTTTTTGTCGTACTAATCACCTGAAATATTTAATTGTTTTTGTTATAACTAGAATTATGAAACTTGCACTGGATAAAAAGACAATCATTTTTGTGTTCAATATGAACGAAAAATGTCTTCTCTTACAAAAATATTGTGAAACTTCATTATTTGGTACACATCCTGTCTAGTTAAAGGAACAAATTAGAAACGACACTATCGGAGAGCGGGTGTTTAGTACAATAGATAGGTAACGCAAAGGGGCAATTTCAAATTTCCAGAAAGAATTTGAAAAAAAATATATCATACTTTTATTGCAGTGATATATATATGTATTGTTGTTTTGAAAACTGACGAATTCTCTTATCAATTCCATTATATTACATAACATACAGATACAACAGACATTTTAATAGAACGAGCAGAAATATATAAAACTATTATGTGTGCTTCTCTGGAACAAAGAACACTTCCTTTAACAAAAATAAATTTATATCAGAGTTAATTCCCTTTGTCATAATCATTGGTGTTCTCGTTTCAGCAAATTTTCAAATTAAGTGTGACAAAAATATTTGAGTATGATATATTTTCTGATTTTCATAAAGAAAAAAACTCACATAAAGGTAAATTCACATAAAATAAATTGTAACGCGCACCATAGAATATGTTCGTTGCCATGCAACTGCATTCATACTACTGTATATGCCGTCAAAATGACGGTCAATCCGTAATTACAAACTTTTCACATCACAAAAAAATGTCCCTTTAAGTTATAGTTCTTCAAATAAGTTGACACGAACAGAGAAAAATAAAGAAAACACAACCTCACGTAAAATCACATATAAAGGGCGACTCACAACCTTAATACATCACTCAAGTCGACTTAGTAAAAGTAAAAAAAAAAAAGTACCAGAAACGGCTTTTACTTGCTGTGAGAGAAGAATGATGCAGCTCAGGTCATTTTTCAACCATAAACGTTTACTAACATATTCACCCCTCAAATTTCATGATGAGCTATTCCCAGCTTTGAATTGGAAGAGTTAAGTTGTGTCTTCAAAGGGGTGAATAAGTTAAAGAAAGATATTTTCAAAATTGTATACACAAAGCTATATTTTCTGATCGTTTTAACAAATAATGATAAAAATCAACATTTTACAGCAGTAAGGTTACCTAACAATATCTTAATATCAACATGTTTATAATTTTCTTACTTTCAACGTACAAATATCAGGTTTTATCACAGAAAACGAATATATTTTTGTTCATAAAATCTCCTGTATAGTAGTACTACATTATACAGAATACGGGGCCTCTTTAGGCCTAACCCCTTATAAGGCAATTTCCAGTTTAAATAGTACAGGGCCCTTTTAGTCTGTTCAGTGTGCAGGGCTCAGGACATTATAAATAGACGATATACTAAATTGTATTCAGATTAATGATCAGGGCCAATGACTCTTTACACAACCCTCACTTGTATACATAGTCCAGGGCCCATGATGACAAACTTTGTATAAATACCAGGGCAGGCCTGACACCAACCAAATTTGAATCTATACATATAGTCAGTGGAAGTGTAAACTTTCTATATAACCAGGCTCATGGATAAAACACCAACTTTATACATATACATAATCAGGGCCACTGACTTCAAACAACACACTTTTCATCTATACATTGTCCTGGGCCGATGACTCTGATCATATGTAATGAGGCTAAATAGTTAAAAAGGCCCGATAAATCCTTCCTTTAGAGTTGTATAAATCTGTACATGTCAATGACTGGAAATGCGATCAGGATACACACTGGAGGAATGAGAACAACCTAGGTCATTGGAAAAGTTAACCCTTTCACCCCTGTAGACCATAATGAACTCATCCCCACCAATGCATGGTAGAGTCTACTAAAGTTACCTAGGGGTGAAAAGGTCAAGACAACCTCAAAAATAAATAAAAACATCAACAATGTGTCTTGTTTAGCAGTCGCTGGAGATTTCGTTTCAATATCATATTTTCCAAAATCTATATCTTATAAGAGTTGTTTTCCCCTGAAAACTCATTTTGAATAAAGCATGCCGGAAAGATTCATTATCATAACCACACCCCCTTTTTATGCCGATTATCATAACCACGCCCCTTTTTATGCTAATTATCATAACCACACCCATTTTTATCCTGATTACATTCCTTTCATGGTGATCACAATTCAACCGGCTCATGTAAGTATTAATTGTAAATCACAACCAAAAAGATCACGCTCATAGTTACAATGTAGTTCATAACACATGAACCAAGTTCACAACACATGAACATCTATCACTAAGCTGTCAACGGTAAACTTAAAACTTAAGGAGATCTTGTAAGTCAAACACAAAAAGATTGACATGTAAACAAAAATACAATGTTACAATTATTGTTCTGTATGCTCCTAACATCATCAACTCTAAAGAACAGTAAACGACAAATTTTCCAATGTTCATTTCAGGAACATTACATGATGTATCAAATCAAGTTTTGAAATATAACATGTTCATCTCAAAATCTGCTGCCGTTTCAATTGAGTACTTCAATATAGCAAAACCTGAATGAATCTGTGTAAAAGTAATAATCCTCCCATTTTGTGGCTCGGTCTGATCAACTGTACAACTAGACGGATGTAATGGAACAAATCCATTGTAAACTATTGCAATACAACAGAACTGACCAATAAAAATGTAGGCAAGTCTGTCATAAAATATTGCCGAAAAAACAGTTGTTACCATCATAAATGGAAGCAATCCTGTCTAATTTTGACTGAATATGGCCTAATTTATAAGATTGAGTTCAACCAGGGCATGTTCTCTGTAACTTTTGATTTCATTGCATTTCATAATGATATGTTAGGGTTTCTAAACTATGGATACGAAGCAGACTGTGTTTTTACTTCAGACTTGTTCAGACTGTGTTTTTACTTCAGACTTGTTCAGACTGTGTTTTTACTTCAGACTTGTTCAAACTATACAGTATCCCTGATTGGGTGGCCGGGTGGTGCAGTGGATAGCGCACTTGCCTTTCACCAAAGCAGCCGGGGTTGGATTCCCCAATCAGATGTGAAAAGGTATGGGGTCACCTGCCCTACCACGCAGGTTTTCTCCGGGTACTCTGGTTTCCTCCCACAAGAAGACCCAAGTGTATATCTCTGTGAAGATTAAAAGTTTAGACCACAAAAACAAAAGTTTTGTTTAATTTCCTGAGTGGATGAAATACATAATAAACCGTTTATAGATGTAACTGTTCGTAAGATCTGTACTGATGTAGAATCTGGTATCATCTATGCAGTATTCAGTATACACTCCCATGTGTGGATATCCATCCTGTAATGTATCCACATTATCCACTGACGAAGCACATGACCAGATGGAGACATATCCAGTCCCTGTGTCCATGTTGTACTTAGTATACAAGTTATCCGGTTTGTATTAAACGTATCCAGTCCCTGTGTCCATGTTGTACTTAGTATACAAGTTATACGGTTTGCAGTGAACGTATCCATTGCTGGCCTGTTTCCATTGTACAACGGCGTCTACTGTCTGGATAGAAATTACCCTTATCCACTTCATGTGGAATATTAACCTTATCCACTTTAATTGCCATTCCACACGTGACGTCCTCTTTGTCTGCACAGTGCAGGTCGGTATAACTTGCGTGGAATTGTCCACCTACCGTTTCAACCTCGAGTTGGATGAGTGACTCGTCAGTATAACTAGCGTGGAATTGCCTGGTCAGTGGAACTTATGTGGAACTGTCCGCCGACTCCGTGGACCTTTAGGTGGATGAGTGTGTGGATCAGAAATGGTCCACCAGGACGGATACGCTACTCTTGCCTACTTTACCCTGAGAACCTTGGTCCATGCCGGCCAGGTTCATATTCTGCCACTGTGTGGGATGTCCTGTAATACATAACAGTAACAAATAATTATAATAATTCGAGGTTCTTATATACCACTTTATCACAACCTAGTTCGTAGGTAGTCTCAAAGCGGTTTACAAGTTATTATCCGTGGTTATAGGGCCTTTGCAACCAGCCAATATCTTTCTCAACTCCCTGGGGAGCATATAGCTATAGCCAGTGCTGCCCTTTCAGCGCTTACAGCTAGCATTCATCAATTCTGGCACTGCCCAACCACGTACTCATTTACAGCTGAGTAGACTGGAACAAGCGGAGTAAAGTGTCTTGTTCAAAGATACAACACAGTGTCGTGACGTGACTCGAACCCACAACCCTTCGGTCACGAGCCTGACATCCTCCCACTAGACTACCGTGCCTCTAAAGGTACTGAACCTCTTCACTATACACCAATTAGTCTAGTCTAGTATTTATTTCACAACCAACTTTCATCCTCGAAAATTCAGAACAATTGAATCACTAATTTTAGGATTCTCTTCCAGTTTTGCTTTGGAAGTATTTTTTCCGAAAATTTTCATTGTTTCATTTTAAGGTTATTAAGACGTAGACACTATGTTTGAATACGAAACATGACTTTCATTGAGAATTTTTCATAAAGAAACAGTTCAAACTCTTTATAACTTGGCAAAGACTTCGAGTTGATAACAAACATTACGTAATACTGTATACCAGGAACCATCGCCCGGCCAAATTTCTTCTGCCACTGGAAAAATCTGTTTTCACCATTCACATTTTATAACTCCACTGGAATAGTTTTCGCCCAGTGTTATTTTCGCCATTCACGTTTAATAACTATGTTCAGTAAGCTACATGTAATCAGTTTCACTGTCGTGATAAAGTTGCCCTCAATACGGAGGGCGAAAAATACGGAGGACGAAAAAGGCTAAAATTAAACTGTAGCGAAAATTTCCCGTATACAGTATCCTGAACATCCGAACATTTTTTGTCTCTTTTGTTTATGCATTATGGTACACAATTTTCGAGATACGAGAGTTGGTTGACCTTTGACCTGACTTACCTGAGGGGGAGTCACTGGACTTAAGGGCGAATGACCAGCTGTCCGGGTTGACAGAGGCACAATGAGGGAGACGCAACTCCACAGGGTGGAGAAACTTCAGTCCGTGGGGCCCACACATGACAAGGGGGCTCAGCAACGTCTCACCTAGACAAGGAAGAATTAACACCTGATTACGATGTACATTTTACCTGGACAACTCATTAACCCCTGAAGACATATTTGAACTCATCCAAATCAATGGTTGGAATAATTCATTATGAAATTTCAGAGGTGAACTCTACTCAATTCACACAAAGATCTATTTTCATGCCTGAAAAGCCCACAGTTATCTGTTGGAGAACATATTCGGAATTCTCGAGACTGGTTTCCTAATACAAGTTTGACTGCACTATTGAAAAAAAAGTTTACAGTACATTTTTGTATTCTTATCTCAAAACAAGATTTTTTTCAGATCAGTTGACCAGCTCTGTATCAGTTCTGGACACGAAGTATTACTATGGTCAATAGTTAGAGATGACCATTACTGACCTTTCTCTCTGTCCAGTGGTGGAAGGATGTTGTTGTCCTTACAAACTTTAAAGTAGATTTCCTGCTGGACGCCCTCAGGGATAGCGCCTAGTGGAATGACGATACTCACACCTGTCGGGTATACCAAACTAATGTACATAATCATGTAAAACTAAATAAGGTTTACGCCCTCAGGGATAGCGCCTAGTGGAATGACGATACTCACACCTGTCGGGTATACCAAACTAATGTACATACTCATGTAAAACTAAATAAGGTTTACACCCTCAGGGGTAGCCCCTAGTGGAATGACGATACTCACACCTGTCGGGGATACCAAACTAATGTACATAATCATGTAAAACTAAATAGGGTTTACACCCTCAGGGATAGCCCCTAGTGGAAGGACGATACTCACACCTGTCGGGTATACGAAACTAATGTACATAATCATGTAAAACTAAATAAGGTTTACACCCTCAGGGGTAGCCCCTAGTGGAATGACGATACTCACACCTGTCGGGTATACCAAACTAATGTACATACTCATGTAAAACTAAATAAGGTTTACACCCTCAGGGATAGCCCCTAGTGGAATGACGATACTCACACCTGTCGGGAAGATAGTGACACGTGTATATCAAACTAATGTACATAATCATGTAAAACTAAATAAGGTTTACACCCTCAGGGATAGCACCTAGTGGAATGACGATACTCACACCTGTTGGGTATACCAAACTAATGTACATAATTATGTAAAACTAAATAAGGTTTACTCCCTCAGGGATAGCACCTAGTGGAATGACGATACTCACACCTGTCGGGAAGATAGTGACACGTGTATACCAAACTAATGTACATAATCATGTAAAACTAAATAAGGTTTACACCCTCAGGGATAGCACCTAGTGGAATGACGATACTCAAGCCTGTCGGGAAGATAGCGACACTTGTTTATCAAACTTATGTACATAATCATAGACTGTATAACATGAAATGTTCCTTGTGTATAAATATTCGTGGTTTTCGTGGTTGCTATTGAACCACGAAAATAAATACAACAGAATTGAATGATAGGATATCAACGAACGTTTGTACCACGAAACGATCAAAATGCTTCAAACTACGAGGGAAAGTACCCACTAACATTGCGTGTTATACAGTAAAACCAGATCCTGTTTACGCCAACATTGCGTGTTATACAGTAAAACCAGATCCTGTTTATGTTAACATTGCGTGTTATACAGTAAAAACAGATCCTGTTTACGTCAATACTTCATATTCATTTGCACTCTTCGCTTGACAAAAGCAAACATTTTTTGTTTTCAAAAGCTTGCAATTTTTTTTTATTTAATTACTGTTTGTGTTCAAAACAATTCATACCAAACTGATGAATCTCATTAACTTGTTCACCCCTGAAATTTCATGATGAACTATTCCAACCTTTGAATTGGAAGAGTTCAAATGTGTCTTCAGGGGTGAATTTGAGTTAAGTTCTGCTAAAATAAGAGTGCAACAATTTTTGAGTTGGTATTTCAGTGTATGCGTTACATAAAGACCAGAGTATACTTCCACTAAAGAAACCATGTTAGACACAGTCGTGAAGATGATATCACAGATCCTCAAAATATGTATTTATACAATATTTTTTTTATTAAAGCTGTACACTAGCAGGGAAATGATTATATCTGACTGAAGGCACAAGATATCTTTATATTATTGTGTAATTTACATTTAACTCATTCACTCCTGAAATTTCATAATGAACTTTACCAACCTTTGAATTGGAAGAGTTCAAATGTGTCTTCAGGGGTGAGTTAACTATATGTACTTAGAACAAGGGAGACAAAACTTACCTGTTTCTTTTGATTCTAACACACCACCTTTGTGGTCGAAAATTCCCCGGGCAGTAGCCACCACTGTGTGACCTTCCTCTATAGATTTTCCACTGTCTAACCTACAACACAGAAATCACGGGGTTAAACAGGGGTCGTGGATTCATTGGTAACAGTAACTCAGTCATCCCTACATTGTTAAAATGGACTTGTCCAGTCTTTGATATGGTAAGGTTAAATGAGACTTTAGGGGTGAATAGGTTTAGCAGGAGCTCATGGATTTGAGCATTACACAGGAGCTCATTGACTCTAAAGTTACACTGGAGCTCATTGACTCTGACATTACAGAGGAGCTCATTGACTCTTAGAAACATTACACAGGAGCTTATTGACTCTTAACGTTACACTGGAGCTCATAAACTCTAAAGTTACACTGGAGCTCATTGACTCTAACGTTACACAGGAGCTCACTGACTCAAATGTAACACAGGAGCTCATTGACTCTAACATTACACTGGAGCTCATTGACTCTAAAGTTACACAGGAGCTCATTGACTCTGACATTACAGTAATGTTACACTGGAGCTCATTGACTCTAATGTTACACTGGAGTTCATTGACTCTAATGTTACACTGGAGCTCATTGACTCTAACGTTACACAGGAGCTCACTGACTCAAATGTAACACAGGAGCTCATTGACTCTAACATTACACAGGAGCTCATTGACTCTAACATTACACTGGAGCTCATTGACTCTAAAGTTACACAGGAGCTCATTGACTCTGACATTACATAGGAGCTCATTGACTCTTAACGTTACACTGGAGCTCATAAACTCTAAAGTTACACTGGAGCTCATTGACTCTAACATTACACAGGAGCTCATTGACTCTATCGTTACACTGGAGCTCATTGACTCTAACATTACACAGGAGCTCACTGTCTCAAATGTAACACAGGAGCTCATTGACTCTAACATTACACAGGAGCTCATTGACTCTAAAGTTACATTGGAGCTCATTGACTCTGACATTACAGTAATGTTACACTGGAGCTCATTGACTCTAACATTACACAGGAGCTCACTGACTCTAATGTAACACAGGAGCTCATTGACTCTAACCTTACACTGGAGCTCATTGACTCTAATGTTACCCTGGAGCTCATAAACTCTAAAGTTACACGGGAGCTCATTGACTCTAATGTTACACTGGAGCACATAAACTCTAAAGTTACACTGGAGCTCATTGACTCTAACATTACACAGGAGCTCACTGACTCAAATGTAACACAGGAGCTCATTGACTCTAACATTACACTGGAGCTCATTGACTCAAATGTAACACAGGAGCTCATTGACTCTAACGTTACACTGGAGCTCATTGACTCTAACGTTACACTGGAGCTCATTGACTCAAATGTTACACAGGAGTTCATTGACTCTAAAGTTACACTGGAGCTCATTGACTCTAACATTACACTGGAGCTCATTGACTCAAACATTACACAGGAGCTCACTGACTCTAATGTTACACTGAAGCTCATTGACTCTAACGTTACATAGGAGGTCATTGACTCTAACGTTACACTGGAGCTCATTGATTCAAACGTTACACAGGAGCTCATTGACTCTAACGTTACACTGGAGCTCATTGACTCAAATGTTACACAGGAGCTCATTGACTCTAAAGTTACACTGGAGCTCATTGACTCTAACATTACACTGGAGCTCATTGACTCTAATGTTACACTGGAGCTCATTGACTCTAACGTTACATAGGAGGTCATTGACTCTCACGTTACACTGGAGCTCATTGATTCAAACGTTACACAGGAGCTCATTGACTCTAAACTTACACTGGAGCTCATTGACTCTAACGTTACAATGGAGCTCATTGACTCTAATGTTACCCTGGAGCTCATTGACTCTTAACGTTACACTGGAGCCCATTGACTCAAATGTTACACAGGAGCTTATTGACTCTTAACGTTACACTGGAGCTCATTGACTCTGACGTTACACTGGAGCTCATGGACTCTAACATTACACTGGAGCTCATTGACTCTAACGTTACATAGGAGCTCATGGACTCTAACGTTACACTGGAGCTCATTGACTCTAACGTTACATAGGAGCTTATTGACTCTAATGTTACACAGGAGCTTATTGACTCTTAACGTTACACTGGAGCTCATTAACTCTAACGTTACACTGGAGCTCATTGACTCTAAAGTTACACTGGAGCTCATTGACTCTAATGTTACACTGGAGCTCATTGACTCTAACATTACACTGGAGCTCATTGACTCTAAAGTTACACTGGAGCTCATTGACTCTAATGTTACAATGGAGCTCATTGACTCTAACGTTACACTGGAGCTCATTGACTCTAACATTACATAGGAGCTCATTGACCCTTACGTTACACTGGAGCTTATTGACTCTAACGTTACACAGGAGCTCATTGACTCTAACGTTACACAGGAGCTCATTGACTCTGACATTACAGAGGAGCTCATTGGTTCTAATGTTACACCACATATACTCAGTTACAAAGAAAATCATGCAAATAAATTAAAACATTTAGCAACAAGTTATTCCAAGCTTTTCACGACCCGAGCGCCGTATTACTGCCGAGTAATTGTTAGTTTAAAACCTTACCCACTACTGTCACTATCAAACCGTTGTCGCTCTTCTTGATCAGCTGACTTGTCACCTGACACATCACCTGACCTGTCAGATCGAGCCTCACTCTCACCAAGGTCAGAGTGAGGTTGTGGGTCATAGGTGACCATGTTAGTTTCGTCGCTGTACACGGCTTGGTTAGGGCTACACACAACACCAGAATTACAGAATGTACAAACACCAACACCAGCCACAGAGCTTAAACTCCTGATCTCACAGAAACCACAGGGGCCTCATACATTCATAAAGAAAGTTTAAATGTTTCAGACCCCTGTGACCTTTAGTTTCCCTTCGATAAACTTTTAAAAACATTTCCGACAAAGTTTTCAATATTTCTCAAGGTGGACTCTCCACAACTTTGACTGATATAATAAGAATACGCCCAGTTAACATTTAATTAGCGGATTATACCTTTTATAGTTCTGATTTTTTCAAGTGTTCTTTATGGCAGTAAATGCCATTATTTCCAAAAACCCGTCTTGCTTTTCTAGCTGAAGCTTTCTGTTTCTTTGACTGTGTGAACACACTTTAACCTCCGTTGAGAAATAGATTTCCTGTCAACAGAACAATCTTACATTCCAAAGAAAATGATCTTTACAAATTTCTGATACATCAGGATTTGAAGCTCTGGCTTGAAAAATGCAGATAAAAAATATGCCATGCAAGTTAGTTTGAAACATGTATCTAAATATAAACAACACTAAATATAAAACAACACTAAATACAAGAAAGAAAAAGGTATAGTGCAAGCGGTAGTCTGCTACTCAATTTGCAATTCTTTAACCCTTTCGCCACTGTAGACCATAATGAACTCATCCAGATCAATGCATGGAAGAGTCTACTAAAGTTGCATAGGGGTGAAAAGGTTAAACAAAACTTTTTGGCAGGTAAAATTTAAGAAATATCCTTTTCTACATCTAATTCAAGATAAGCCCAGGAGCTTGGATACTTTAACAAGATGGATAAGTACTAAGGTCACAGAGAGTTTTCTTCTAAAATTTTACAGTGTTTGTGGATACGCAAGTGTGATCCTCGTAATATATCTGTTTACAAGGATGTGGGGTTATTGCAGAGTGTGGGCTTATATAACAGGTAAAATAGGTATAGCCCCCCCCCCCCCCCCACCTCGCTGTTTAAATTCTACATGTACCATGATCTCTAAACAGTGAAATATTTTCAGTTAATATTTTTTGATAAAATAGGAAAATATAACAGATTTGACATCTTGAAAAGTATAAATAGAAATTCAGTTGATTTACTGAGTAACAGACCTAGATAAAATATTAGTCAAGAAATCAGAAACATATGTTAGAAGTAGAGACAAATGAGTTAAAACACAGTAAATCATTCAAACATGGATGCTTCTCGACTCCTCGTCCTACAACTCAGGACAATCTCAATCCTGTGATTTTAAAACCCTCTGTCTATATTTTTTTCCCCATTAACCCTTTCACCACTAGGTAACTTTAGTGGACTCTTCCATGCATTTATTGGGATGAGTCCATTATGGTCTACAGTGATGAAAGGGTTAATGATATCAAACATTTTTGAAAAAACTTTTGAAAGACAATTGAAAATTGCCAATCACACATATATCCTTGTGTGTTTTGCATTTCTTTGAAACGAAATTCATTTCAATATTATTATCAAAATGTCTCACCAGAATTTTATCAGACATGGGGTACTGTGAAGTATAAATTTTCTCATTTTAGTTGTTTTAGTTACCAGTAGTGTGGAAATTGGAGTTGTCAGTTCAACTGCAATATTTTGTTCATGGTGTAAATGTGTCGGTTTGTGGGGACACATATGCATGTGCATATTTTCGCACTCGTTTGAACAAGTAAACAGGAACTGAGCAAAAAAAACCCACTTGTTTGTATGGTATTTATTCCACCTGAAAACTAAAATCTTTGAAAATAAATCATTAAAGAATAAATCTCAAGAATTGTTCACAAAATTCGAGTGATTCACATATTGACCATCCTACGAGTCAGCACCTTTAAGACAAACGTCCATGTTTGAAGTGTACACTATACTAGATACCAGCGAAAACAAGCCAACTATCAGTATGTGCTTCCTAACATGTTAAAATACCACTTCACAAATTGTTAGCGTATTAGAATTAAAGTCATACTAGAAGTTGAACTGTTAGCATACTAAAGTATCACACTTGTAAGTTAGAATATAAAAGTCATCTACTGAAAATACACAACTGAAAGCATACTGAAAATACACTACAACTATGCTGTAAGTATACTGTACCTGTACTGAAAGTATACTGAAAATACACTACAACTATGCTGTAAGTATACTGTACCTGTACTGCCTGCCGGGCTGCAGTAGAGGTTTGGGTGAGGAGGGACCATTCATATCAGACTTTCCGAAAGTCGACATGACAGGCTTTTTGTATGCTTCAAATGCGCTTCCCCTTTCATCGGTGTCTGTGGAGTCAGCATTCATCCGTTCTCTGTGAGGAAAAAGAGATTTCCCTATAGAAATCTACAACACTTATGTTTCCCCACATTTCTCTAACCAACTTTTATATTTTCTTTTTATCTAATTTATGACAAGTTTTTTTTATTTTGAAATGTTTTTTTATCAATAACTTATAATAAGTACAAAGCATAGATATCTTGTGATGTTGTTTTAACAAATATCTTGTAAAATGTATTGAAATATTTTTTATCGCAATGTGAAGGTAAAAGGTCATCAGGCATGCTGAGAATCTGATATGCTGAGGTCAAAGGTCATCTAACATGCTGAGTTCAAAAGTCATCTTATGTGCTAAGGTCAATCAGGCACTACATACAAAAGGAAACCAGAAGTAAGCAGCTTCAGCCTTTCACCACTGTAGACCATATTGGACTCATCCAGATCAAAGCATGGAAGAGTTTACTTAAGTTACATAGGGGTGAAAGGGTTAAATGTTTTGTTTTACAGTGTTATCTCACTGTGTAGTTGGTGTTTAATACAGTGCTATTCTGTATAAAATTGATCATCCCCATCTTACTGTTAAAAGCGGGTCAAGGTCATTTCTGACAGCCATTTATCCTAGCATACTATACCAAGTATGTTGATCCGATAACTTGCTTCATATGTTTCAACACAGTTTATCCCTGTGACCTCATAAGTAGCTAGTTTCCTGATAATTATGTGAACAAACTTGATTGTCCTTTATCAACATACTACAGGCCTAATGTCATGACCCTAGGTTTTTAATTATTCAGAAGAAGTTGTTTCATAGTTTTAGCCCACCTGAACAAACTGACCTAGAAAGTAGGTCAAGGTCATTCATGTGAATAAACTTGAAATCCCTTATAACAGCAGGCTACATGCTAAGTATCATGACTCTAGGTCTTTATTTATTCAGAGGAAGGTGTTTAAATGTTTTCAAACACTTAACCCCTGTGACTTTGTAATCTTATCTGCATCATCTTTCTATGAAGATTGGTTTTGCGATTGTATATGTCCAGAAATTACAGTCTTTGAATACACCACTTCCATAAAACAATTTGAGGGTGTTTTTGAATTTTTTATTTCTTAGTCATAAATGCACACAAGTGTCAAATTCCAAATCACATTGATATAAATTTTTCAGATTCTGGAAATATAACTGTTCTTCAGCTAATAATCTCAACTCTGCTGTAGGAGTGGATATGCTAATGATATGGGTTTGGTTATGCTAATGAGGTAGGTGTGATTATGGTAATGATATGGGTGTGGTTATGCTAATGATATGGGTTTGGTTATGCTAATGAGGTAGGTGTGATTATGGTAATGAGAGGTGTGGTTGGTTATGCTAATTAGGTGAATACCAATCCTGGGAGGAGTTTATATTCAAGGCACATGCAAGTTCATCGGAAGCTTTTTGGTTCAAAACAAATAAGTCCAACTCATTTGTAAAAATAAATATGTATTTTTATTTCTTTTTCCTTTCATGACTAAGTATATATATGCTAAATATTTCTGAACACAATTTTGTTTTTAAACTTTACAAAATCTGTCTTTTATAAACATGATATGTTACCAGTGCTAGTAATCTTCAAAAGTGTCAAATTCTCAAAAAGAGAAAAATAGTTTGTCCTAAATTATTCTTAACCGTAATACATATGTAAAATAAAACAATTAAAAGTTTTCTAAAAAAATCTATCAAGTGATATGTTTAGGAATATCCAAAAAAGAATAAAATATTTATATATGTAAACATTTTAAAATGCAATTATCCAAATGCCAACATTTACGAAAACAATAAATCCTTCTTAGATACATGTTTCTGTCTCTAGTTTGTTTTGTCTGCCATTAACTCATTCACCCCTGAAATTTCATAATGAACTATACCAAACTTTGAATTGGAAGAGTTCAAATGTGTCTTTAGGTGTGAATGAGTTAAATAACATCTTTATATTAGAAAATAAAATTTAATGACAATGAGTGGACATTTTTTGATCCAAAGAGCTTCCAACTCCTCTCTATACGTATTACTACCAACAGATTTCGTACGTTGTAAAGGATTTTTTATTGTCAAAGTCAAAATTCAGAATTTGAAAATTTAACCAGCAGGATCGGTATTGCTTAAAATAATATATCCCAAAAGCATCAAACAGCTGATTTTTTAATTCCTGATGTAATTAAATGAGGAGGGGCTACATTGTAGGTGTAAACAGGTGTAGACAGGTATGTTACCTGGAGTAAAACAGGTGTATAACAAAGAAAAACAGCATAACACCACACTAGTTAACAAGGACAGAAACACAGAAACTATCAATAGTACAGAATACGTACAGAATACATGTATCTCGTAGAAGGTTACCGTGAATGACGGACGTGTTCTAACGTTTCTGCTTTCTGAGCCGTTAGTGTTAACCGTGTTAGTACACATCCAATCAAGTCTAGAGAACATTGATGATTTCTTACACAACAACATTGTGGAACCTCGTTTATTTGAAAACTTTTTTCTTTTTTTTTTAAATTCTGAGGATCTGCATTCAAAAAACTGTTCTCAAGTTCAAAATCTGATTCTGTTCTAAAAAACATCTCAAATTTAAAAACAAAAATATTAATCATGAGTAAAATCATTTTAATATTTTGTACAATTTTTTCCTTAATCTTACAGCTGGATAGCATTTCAATGTTTACTCATATATTCTATTCAAGATCTCCGTGAATTACATGAATTTTTTAAATTTTCACTTTTGGTGTGGGAACAATTCTATGACTACGAGGGTTTGGTCGCCATAACAAAGAAACATGCTTTTCAGAAAAACAGGTAATAAGCCAAAACTTGTTGGAAACAGAAAACATTTCCATTGTTCAGTCAAGAGTTCAGGTCATCATTGTTTCATATTTTTGGTGATCAAGCTGACAACGTTGCCCTGTACACCAGAGTAGCAAGGTCTTAATGTAAAATCCTGGGGAAACAATGAAACACAAAAAGTATCATCAACTTATTCTGGGCTGGTATAATTTATATTTGAATTCAATGAAATTTTCAATAACCTGGAAAAATAAATTGACATATTGACATAGGAATTTTTCAAAATTTCTGGAACCGATTTATGTCTTTTTAAATTCTGAAGACTGTTTTGTATATTATATATGGAAAACAGCATAGAAACGTAACTATAAGACCAGGAAGGATAATGTTTTCTTCTTTAACCCTTTCACCACTGTAGACCATAATGGACTCAACCAGATCATTGCATGGTAGAGTTTACTGAAGTTACATAGGGGTGAAAGGGTTGAACATTGAATTTTATAAAATTATATAACATCTTTGAGTCCTGTTATATAACAAGAGATTAAACCCCAAATATGATGTATATAAAGTTTAACCCTTTCACCCCTAAAGACACATTTGAACTCCTCCAATTCAAAGGTTGGAATAGTTCATTATGAAATTTTAGGGGTTAAGGGGTTAAACATTCCAGTTACTACAAGTTTTCCGTTGTAATATATTTCACTAAAAAAAAAAGATTACTCAATAGATACATAAACTCTTTGCTCCAGCCTAATTCTTTAAATATTTTCTTTTGTTTCTTTCGGCTCTAAGATATTTGTTATACACTAGATATATTTTTGATAGGTATGGAAGTTTTAAAAATGTATGGATTAGATCCAAGGGTAATAAAAAATGTCTGGACTTTAAATCCAGATTTAGATGTCGTCTAATTTTTGAGAGTCGTACCTATCACATATAGACATGAACATATTCTAACTGATTTTCAAGAAAAGTATTTGATTTACCAAAAACTGAAATTGAGACATAAAGTCTTGTGAACCTGGATTAGAATGAAAAAATATTCAAAGAATGGATTCAAAACAGTCTGAAAATGATGGATGAAATTTTGATTCCTTTACAATTTGAAATTTTCGTGTATATGATATACATGAAAGGGGTCAACAAAATATTATCTGGGAAATATGACTGTGAAGTTATTCGACATAATTAATAACAGGGAAAGTTCATCTACATGTGGACACAACTTTAAAATTCACAAATTGCATTTAAGACTTTTTTGTTTAAACATAGAGCTGTTGATTTATGGAACAATCGTCCGTCTAATATGGTGAATTCAAGCACAGTCAGACAATTTGAATATAAACTAGATGAACACTGGCAAAACCAAGTGCAGAAATACAGTTTTAAGTCATTCACCCCTGCAATTTCATAATGAACTATTCCAACCTTTGAATTGGAAGAGTTCAAGTATGTCTTCAGGGGTGAATGAGTTTTAAATAAAAAGTTGAAAATCGAAATGTTGCAAAATTTTGAATATGATTTTATTTAATTGCTTTTTATTTCAAAGGACTGTATAATCCTGATTTTGTCAGAAGAAATCTATGTTTTTATGTAAACATTGTAAAATATGAGCAATTCCATAACAGATATATAAGATGGGAGAGTTCATGCAGGGCTCGTTTGAGTCAATATTGTCATGCTATGATGGTAATTAGATATGACTCAAATTAACATGCTTCATTGTTAGAACTTCCAGCAATCCCCATCTGCTAAATTTGAATGAGGTAAAAAAAACAACTAAAATAACAAGAAGCTTGCAGACAAGGGGAGATAACTTAGATTACCTCCCCTGAAAGTATATTCAAATGTGCAATAATAAAATGGAAATAATAAAACAAAAAATAGTGTGCTAACAATATAAAAAATATCTTTTTGATACTTTGGCATATACTGGCCAGAAGAACAATCAATATCAAAATAAATGTTGTAAAATATCTGAGATTTCTTATATGAAGCACTGAATTCTAATTTAATTTATTTACAACATTTTTTTTTAATTTTAAGGGAATAAAACAAATATCTTCCATTAGAAATTAAGAAAGAAAAATTAAAAGGAAAAAAACACCCCTGAAAATGTTTATTTGGTGATCGTATTGTCATGGTAACACTAAATTTAAACCAAAAGGAAGCTTTGTGCAGCATTTATACATTCGGCTAATTCATTTGGCAAGACGACAGAGAATTTAAATGTCAGTATCTATAATCTACACAACCAATCCGGTTTACAGCAATCAAGGTCAGAGTTCAAATCAAAATAACCAATTAGATAACAGCATTCCAAGGGTCAAAGTTCAAAAATGCACCAAAACAAAGATTGACATTTCTAGCACAAGGAACACATGGGTGATCAACCAAACCTTAAACGGCCAATCAGAACAAGGCTTCATCTTTACCTCGGGCGATCAGCCGCACTTGGATACCCAGGGTCACGAGAATAGCCCTCCATGTTGCCATGGTGACCGTTAGTGCCACCGCCTTGCTGTGCTTTAAGCCGCTGTAACTCCTGATGGTCCATGTACATTTGATTAACGAACGCGCCTCCTGACCTTTGACCTCGATCAGAGTGAGGCTCCGGGTTGTTCGGTTCCTGGGCAACATAAGGTCGAGCGTAATGGTTTGCCATTATTCTCTCGTTTCCTTGTGGCTGCCTTTGGTATCCGGATCGTGGTGCGACGTAGTCGTAGGGGTTTTCGTTCGGGTCGTGGTAATCCTGGGAAGGAGGACTGCGCATGTTGCCCGTTTTGATTTTGTTGACGACGGCGTAGTTACTGGAATCTGCATAGTTGTAACTCCTGTAGAAAAATGACAATGGGAGTTAGGCAACTTTTGTCAACTTCTCAGTAAATCCCACTGTGTTGGACCTTAGTCAGCGCCCATGTTAAAATATTATTGACCCCATACTCTCTGTAAATGTAGTCAGTCCTACATGTAATTTTACTACGAAGTTTCAGTTTTGTCACAAAAAACAACTTTATCATATCAAAATGTCTCTCTGTACAAATGTTTCTCAGCATTTCTTTTAGCAAATGACAAAATTACACACAAATCATTTTTACGCCCCACACTTCTTGCAATTTGGTTGCTAATTAAGTTGACACCAAATTTTTTGAAACATACAACATTGCTAGGCAACATCAAAATGTACACAACATTTTCCCCTCCAAGTCAAGCATCATTTATTATAAAGCTCGTTCGTTAAACCATAATTATTTATTAATTTTGCAAAATGCAAGCAGAAGTCGTAACAATTAATAAATAAAAAGCTTCCTTTCCATGAAATACAGCTCCTCGTAGATAAACCAAATTCTTGTCATAATTAACAGATTGACACATGATTACACCAGACGAACCATTTCGTACCTGTTAGAATTTTCGTAGTTCCTGATTTTCTGGTCGTCAGGCTCTATACCCCGATCCTTCAGGTTATAGGTTTTCACAGGCACTGGGGGCGGCTCCTTCTTATTGTTGGGGTCGCGATGATGACCTCCGACCTCTGGGGGCGCAGTCCCCGGCCGCTGGGACGGCACAGATTTACTTCTTCCCTGACCCTGTTCATCTTTTCTATAAATAGAATTCAACAAAACTATGTATTTTTGAACGTAACAGAAGATTAGGAAAGCTAAATATTTAAAGTTTTTACTCATTCACCCCTGAAATTTTGTAATGAACTATTCCAATCTTTGGATTGGAAGAGTTCAAATGTGTCTTCAGGAGTGAATGAGTTAATGGTCTTCTTTTACAATCTAATTTGCAACCTTAATAATAATAATAATAATAATTCAAGGTTCTCATATACTACTGTATCACAACTGAGTTCGTAGTTCCTCTCAAAGCGGTTCACAAATTAGTACCCGTGGTTATTATTTTAAAAATAACAAGAAATATCAATCTTTTTCAATGCTATACAAAAAGCAATAAAATGATTTTAAAGCAAATAATTTGAAGTGGAGCCAGTGTTTTCATTGGTCGTACCTGTATCTCGCTGACAGATCGGAAAGTTTTGATTTGTCGACATGTGCGGTGCTGACAGGATGTGCGGTACTCCGTGTGAAGCGGTACGGGTCATGTGACCCCTTGGCGCCAAGTTTCTCACGGAGTTTGGAATCGTCGTGTTTGTTGGCAGGGTGTGACGTGTACTTAGTATAGGAATCACTGCTGTATGAGGAATTATCTGTGTAGGGCTGCAAAACATAAAACATTAAACATTAAACATAAAATCATAAAACAAAAAAAATCATAAATCATGAAACCTAAAATGAATAATCATTTTACAGTGGGTATAATATACCAACGTTTCATGTCGGAAACATTAACTTTTTCTCAAAGCAAAATTCTACTAAAAACCCAAAACAAATAAATCTATGCTAAAGAAAATGTTCAAAATGAGACACTTGTGCCATTGTAGAAATATAAAAGGGAAGGTAACTCTAATAAATAAAGATTGTTCAGTTTCATTTTTTTTGAAGATTTGATTTTGATTAATAAACTTTTATTCTAACTAAAATAACAGTCAAAAAAGATGCATAAATCCTGTAAATATCGGTAAACTTTGTTCGAAATAACCGTACACATTAGCCTCCCTTTTCGGTGCTTACGTACCCGATGGTGCTGATGCTGAGGGTCGTTGTGATGAGGCGGGGGAGGGGGAAGTGATGATGTGGATTGACGGGTCGTATGAGCTAGGTCCGATTCTGACCGCCGATGATGGTTTTGGCCGTAACGGTTCCCTTGGTGGTCTGGGTCATCGTAAGCAGGGTTGAACCAACGCTCTGAGGAATCAAAGTCAAACAAAACATTTATCTATCAGATCCACCATTCACTTTTCAAAATTAAGTTTAAGAAAAATGATGATGGCTTTAACTCTCTGTTCCTTTGTCGACACATTTCTACTTGCGCCAATTGCATCATTTAGCCTTGACAACGTCAAAATTACACTCAAACGGTTTTAAATTGTGTTCCATATTGGTATAATTGCTGTCAAATTTGAAATAAAGGTTGGTGAACCCTTTGATTTTCAATTACACTAAAGAGGAATATTCACGACAGTAATATGAAAGACGTACCATCCTGCTGTCCTCGGGGGTAGAGGCGTTCATGTGGGGTGATGGTGGCATACGGGTCGATCTGAGTTCTGGCCGGGTGATGCCGATTCTCCGACGCGTAATATGATGCATAATATCGGTCCTCAGGGAGGCCATCCACTGTAACATAGACATCGTAATGTTAACTCATTCACTCCTGAAGGAACATTTGAACTCTTCCTACTCAAAGGTTGGAATAGTTCATAATAATAATAATAATATTATACAACATTTGATATAGCGCCCTATCAAGCTAACATAAGCCACTCTAAAGCGCTTTACAGTAAATAGATATACAATTAGTACAATTAGTGTATACATTAATCAATACAATTATTGAGGAATTCACAGGAGCTGCCCTTATCAGGCGCTAACTACTAGACCTATGCCACCTGGCTAATATCTCCCTATGTGTGTATGCCTGCGTGTACATGTGTGCTGGAGATATTATTTCAGGGGTAAATAAGTTAATGTGCAATTTACATCATAAAAGATAATTTACATACTACCTGAAGAATTCCTCGACGAGTTTCAGATGTTATAACCCGATATTAAATTTGCTGTTATCATTTATCAGTGATTACTTTAAAACATTATGTGATTCCAATACTTACATTCCACATATCTTCTGTCGTCAAGCATGCCCGGGTTTTTCTGTACCTTGAATTAGAAACACGACATCATTAAAACCTGTATCACATAAGATACAATTTCTAAAACAAGTTATAGACGAGAAACATCTCAAAAATACAACATTAGTAAAATTTATGCAAATTTTGTTACTATATAGCTACCCACAATTGTAATATTTCTATTCAAAATTCTTTTTGCCAATTGTCAAATCTAAAGTTACTCACTTTCAAACTTCAAAATAAGTGGCCTGATCAGTTAACTGCTTGACCATTTGTTTGAACAGAAAAAAATGAATAAGTTCGCAGAAAAACTGGATGCATGAGGCTAAAAAATGAAATCTAGAATTCAACATTTGATTTCAGACAGCAGGTACAATTCAGTATGTGATAACCTCTGCAGTTTTAGCAGTGAAGGACACGTACCCCCGGGGTTTTGTGGTACGCTGGAGGTGCTGGGTACGGTGGAATGCCGGGAATTCTGTCTGTTGTGTTCACACTGGGGTCGGAAGATGACCTCACTAGTCGCTTCTTATGCATAGGTGAAAGGTCAAGGTCATCGACAGGTCGACTTAAGTCTAGCTCGCTCTGCTGGGACGGTGCGAAGCTAAGGCGATTGGACATCGGGAATAGGTAATCGTCACTGATATCATCCTCGGGCTATAAATAGATGTCAGGTGTGATGATGATTGGCTGGTCAATCTACGCTACACTGCTAGCAGACGTTGTAATGTAAGCGTACATATAGAAGTGGTAGTCTAAATTTAGCACTTTTTGCGCTTTAAATATTGCGCCAAGTTATGATTGTACTGATTTAAGTTTCTGTAAAAACATTTTTTTATTCCATATTATGATGGAAGGATAATTCATCAATGCGCTAATCTGTTTAATTTCGAATGCCCTAAAAAAAATAAGCGCTTAAATAAGCATTGTTACAGTATTCATGACATTAAAAAATTTGCGATATGGCCAAATAAGTTGTTATTTTCCTCACAACAGAAATTGAAATGCCAATAAAACTTTCACTCATTTTCCAACAGAAATCTTATACTCTATACTCAGGTTTGTAATCAATCTGTAATAAAATGTGAACCAGGAAATCGTAACAAAGTTCATTCTGGGAGTACTACCGGTGACATACCTTGCGTTCAGACATCCAGATATTCTGTTTCTGTTGTAGTTCCACTACTTCTCGTAGCCGACGATACCAGATGTCGGTAGCGTTGTGACTTATCGTGGCTAAAAGCAGAAATTTTGTTTACAATAAACATCAATAGAAATTAATTATTCTAGACTCAACATTACATTATGTTGCATTGTAAAAAACCCTGTTTAAAATCCTTTTTTAGTTACAGGTAAACTTTTAAAATTCCAGGTAACTTCATTTTCAAATTGTTCCATTTGGATAAATAAACTGATTAATTACAAGTTTATAAAGGAACATTACCATTTTTTAAAACAATCATATAGCTAATCTTAAGTTAATAATAAAGATTCATTTTCACGGGTAAATTTCGATACTTTATGTTGCCATGAAAAATATTGAAAAATTTGATTTTCTTTTTATATGATCCAACTACTTTATTTTCATTGACAACTAATAAGTCCAATTTCATAAAGATAAATTATCGCGGCTGAGATACTTTGGTTTTCAGGGTTAACGTTGACACAAGATTTACACTCACCTGTGAATAGGTGGTGATATATTTTCTCCAGTTTTCCGCTCTGTTCGAAAAGTTTCTTTGGATTTTTGCTGGAACCTTTAGCGAATCTAGCACGACTTTCCTTGACGACGTTTTTATTTTCGGCCTTCAGGAAGACAACGACAGGGTAATACTGGGCGTAGTTAAGACGATCAACGTTGTGTGGCGTCACGTCAAGTAAACAGTGCCTTCTCTGAAATGTGCAAGGATTCAACAGCGTTAACACAAGGAATTTGATTGGCCTAGAAAAATGTTGGCAATCATTGTGGAATTTTGAAGTTAGCATCATACGTTCATTTCTCTGAAATTTGTAAGAGATCATCAGCATCATTTTTACAAACAGTTTGATTGGACAATAGCGATAGTAAAAAATATAATGAAATTTGATTGGTCAATAAAAATAGTGAGAAAATTAATAAAATTTTATTGGTTGATAAAAATAGTGAGAAAATCAATAAGATTTGAAGTTAAAGCACAAAGTGAATCATCAGCAAATATAATCAATCCTTTAATATTATACTGTATACTTTTATAATTTGAGGAGAATTTTTTCCAAAAAATCCTGATGAATGTCTACAGAAATGCAAATTAGTAGAAATGTCTTCATTTGTATTGACCACTGCTTCCATTACACTGATAGAATTAACAGACATAATCTTCAGCAATACAACAGAGCTCGGTATCACAGACCTACCTTAGTTATAATCTCCTTTATTGCACCCAAACGTATAATTCCTGATTTATTTGATTTCTTGTCATCATTCAGAGTAGATGCATCATTTTCTGTGAGAAAAAAAAACAAAGTTAAAATTAGGCCTATAGACCTTCAATCAAATCAAAATTTAAAGAGAATTTTATTTTTATTATTATTTTTACTTATTTCCTTAATTTTCATTGATATCATCTAGAGTTTCTATATCTGAATTAAAAAGAAATTTCAATTAAAAAATTCAAATATTCAATAATACTGGTCATAAATTTCACAAGATTTATAGACAAATTATAACTTACGTGGCGATTCAAACTGATCAGGATATTCATTTAGAAGCTTTTCTCGTGCCACATCGGCGAGGGCTCCGAAAATCACTACAGGACGATGAAACCCACCTGGCAACAGAAAAAGTTTACGATCAAATATTGAAATGTACAATATCCAACACTTTATTCACGGAAAATCAAATTGAATTCTAAAGAATATTAAGAGTAGATTTAAATACAGAAGTTCTTTCCTCATTGATGGATAATAGAGAACATGAATTGTCTCCCTTACATTGCTAAGCAGTGGAATGACTGGTTCATACATTTGTAAATGTAATATTTTCAGGGGTAAAGTCCTGTGAACATCTTGATACAGGTCTTTAGAACGGTTTTAAGGTTTACAGTAAAATAACATTAAACAGTCCCTATTTCTACAACTAACATCTGGTTCAACTGGTACAAAACGTTTGGAACACTACGGACGAAATCGGCCCAGTTTTTGTCTGATTTACTTACAGTCTTTGAGAACAACTCTCTCATAGGCGGGAAATTTTGTAGAAAGGCTCGCTGTAAAGACACAAAAAATATCTTGTTAATGAATAATAATTTCCACAAATAAAACTGACAGAATCAAAACTAAAGAAACTGTCAAAATTTTGTGACGAATTCATATAAAATTGTGTCAAATATATTTTATTGTGGGCTGTATTTTACCTAAAAAACACCCTCTCTCTTATTACTGTTCTTCTTCATCTTCTGTTTCGAGCGTCTTATCCCTATAATCTTACGTTATAGCCTTACTTGAAAAAGAATCCATCATGGATATTTTTTACAAAGGAAAATAAATTTAATAAAATCCTGAATGAAAATTTATGATTTCTCAGTTTTAGAGTGAATAAAATAAAGATTGTAGTTGTTTGAATGGTCTGTATCCTTAAAGTACCAACAACCTGAGACAAACAGGTGGTAGCATTAACTCATTCACCCCTGAAGACTCATTTGAACTCTTCCAATACAAAGGTTGGAAGAGTTCATTAAGAAATTTCAGGGGTGAATGAATTAACAGAACAGACAAATCTGATAAAATTTAAATATTGGACATGGCGTGCGTAAACCTATATCCCATAATAGTACCCGTCACAGATCATGCATATATATATGTGTAAACATCATAATAATAATGTACCTCAAACTGTAAGCTCACACTCTATTTTAAAATCAAACTTTTCTTTTCATCCTGTGCATTTTGTGCATTTCTAAATATTTTCTGTGTGCGATAGTGTATTTCTGTGTGCGATAGTGTATTTCTATGTGCGTAAATAAATATCTAGTATGATGTGTGTTTCTGTATGTGTTAAACTCTCCCAATGTGTTAGTAGGATTTTCCCTCTAAAATGAACCGGAAATATTTTTGAAAATTTAGCGCAAAATATCAGATTTGCTTACAAACTTACATAAATCCCACTTCTTTATCACACTGAAGCAGTGATATAATTACCTACTAATCAGACAGACTACTGTTAATCACTTTAGTTCACCAACTATTGCTGTAATTGCGAATTAATAGTGAAGATCTAAATTCATTATTGAAATCTGTTTTAAAATTTAATCCCTCAAAAAAATAAAGAAACAAAGTCAACATACAAGGTCTGTATGGAAGGAGTAAGACGAGGAAGGAAAAAATAAACAAAGAAGGCAAGCAGGAAAACCAAGCAATAAAATCACTTATACAAGAAATCAAAATAATATTTTCGTGAATTTTAGAAAAGTGTTCAACAAAAGGCAAATGTAGATATCAGAAAATTATTAAGAATATGAATTTTGTATGGTGTGAAATAGACCCAGGGGAAAAAAAGGTACATTTGAGGTACACTTTTTGGGGTACCTAAGGCATGCCTTAGGTATATCTAAGGCATGCCTTAGGTACATTTTGGGTAGGGAAGAAAAAGAGGACAGAATAGGAGGGGTTAAAACCTGTTCAATATAGGTACATTTTAGGCACATTTTAGGCACAATTAAGGCATGCCTAAAATGTGCCTTTTTTATACCTCTGACTGAGGTATACCTAAAATGTGCCTAATTTGTAC